TTTTACAGTGTCGGATCTTTTTTACGTTACCCACAGTGACGCTTAGCCCAAAGGTTTGCTGGCGTGAGCAGCTGTGCCGACAATTATGAGTTCTGCTTTATGTGGGTTGCTTTTCAGACCCCTGTGGTGAAGCCTTCGGGAGACCGTGGCTAGAGCAGATCCGAGACACGTGAGCACACAGGCGAGGCCGCTGGTAGTTGGCTGTTCACTTTGAACACGCCGCACGTCATCCGCATAGCAACCAACTTATGCTCTTCCGATATTGAAAACTTGGCTACGAGCAGCAGACACCACCTTCCTCCCTAACCACGCTACCCCGGAACAAGCCACACGCATTTTTTATAGACTCGGCACGTTTATGACGTGATAGTTTGGCAGCGGTCAGTAAACAATTGAGCCTGTGCGTTGATACGCCGCCGCATGCTGGTGTGGCCAAGACAGCCACGCGGTGTACGCAACCGAATGGTTCCGGCAGGTCGATCGAGGAGATGGTGGTGAGCATGCCAGAGCCCACACTGTCGGCGGTGTCGCTGACAACCTCGATGATGGCACTGCTGGCATCCTCTGCCAAGCAGCCAGGGCGGCATATGTATGGTGGATGTGCTCCAATGTGGCGAGTGGTGATACTCTAAGAGCTGTGCAAACTCGACCTTCCTCATTAGCATGTTTGTGACATAGCTGATGGGTCAAACATGTCTTGGTTCTGGTGGATACCCTTCACTGCACAGTGGTATTGGAATTTACAAATGGCAGGTGTGCCCATGAGCCTAGCATATCATGCATTTCTGGCATATCTGGCATATCATGCATTATTCATGCACAACAGTTTCAATATGTCTAATAATGTTGAGTCTGCTGCTACCGAACAACATATCAAGAAACCTCCGAAAATTGCACGGTTAAATTTTTCTTTCCTGTTGTCATACACAAAAACAGCCTTGGTACTTTTAGTTATCCAACACATAACCACTAACTATGCATAGCATGACATGTAAATGTTTAAAAAGTGAGAAGGATGTAATTATAACATAGCCCCCTAATGATCTTAGACCAAACCTAGACGAAACAAAACCATGACGAAACAGGACTCAACTAAACTGGCAAACTGTTTAAAGTGATTTGTGAAACATGGAAAATGTCTTGTTACAATATAAAGCATAACTAAAACTAATGGGGTCCTATGACAGAGCATACACAAATTCATGGTGAGATCCACAATACTTTGCTGACTCTTGAGGTCCTTCCACGCCATCAAAACAGAGCAGGTTACCAAATTTGACACAGGAACAGCCAATGACTGAATAAAGTTATGGGTTTGAATCTAAGACAGCATTGCTCCCCATACTGACTACTGGCTAACTAACCCAGAACAAGGCTATTTAGATGACACGAAAGGTTTTTTTGGTACAATTTTTGAAATGTCCACAGTCAATGCTCAACCCCAAAACAAGCGCTTCAGCCTGTGAGCATGTGCGTGTGTGCATACATGAGGGCATGCATGTGTGCGTGTGAGCGTGCATGTGCGCCATGGGGTTTACAACGCACTCATGTGAGGTAATATGGCGTCGTCCAACATTCACCAGGGCAGCAACCACGAACACCGCGGGGAATCAAACAGCATACTTCGAGTTTCCTCGAAATGAAGCTTGAAGGGAGCATTCCACATTTGTATGGGGTTTTTAACTGAATAACTATCCTGAAAATCATTTGGTGCAGTTCACAGCCCTGCTCTCCTTAAGACCTAAACCGATCTAGTTTCTGAGCTACGCACCCGCGAAGATGTGCAGACCCTTTCAGGGAAACTATTTCAAGGTAACCAATTGTTCCAGGACAACATAACAACATTATTCAAATCCTGCCTTTCCATCAGTCATGCAGTAATCAAGGCCGAGACAAATATAATTGTTGAGTCGGTCGTGAGCTGGAACGATGCTCGCACTGTGACGACGTTGCAGACGTTAACTTGGCTCACATGTCCCATTGGTTCCTCCAGAGCGATCAAAACCATCATGTTTCTCAAATGAGGGTGAGAAGAAAGGCACTTAACCACAGGCGGTCTCAAAAGGAGTGTTTCACATTTCCATGGGGTTTTGAACTGAAAAAGCCTTCATGAAACCTTTTGGTGCAGTTCACAGCCCTGCCCTTCTTAAGACCTAAGCTCCTCTAGTTTCTGAGCAACACGCCTGCGAAAATGAGGTGACTTTTTCAGGGAGAGTATTTCAATGTCACCTTAGCATTCACATCATTCAAATCCTGCTATTTCACAGGCCATGCGATGATCAAGGTGGATAAAAATATGTGGTCAAGTTGTTCATATCTGGCATTTGTAAGCATGATTTCCAGATATAGTAGCCATCAATTGGCTCTCAATCAATGTTATGTAAAGTATGATGATACAGTCAATGACATATTGAGGAGCACATGTACTAAACAAGAGATGTTGCCATCTAGAGCAGTCTTTTCAACTCAAAGTACACCAATGGCCATAAATAAACTTATTTAATCACATCTGATGCTTGCTTTAGTACCTTCAAATGTGGATTTAAGCACTAAACTACCAGTGCCCACACTGAAGACCTTAGGGATTACATGATCAAGACTGGCAGTGGCAACAGAAAAACAAAGGAAAAGCATGCATCCATCACATTTTTGCCCGTGTTTTCAGAATCCAAGGCCTTCCAACCATTTATGCGAAACCACATTATGCCACAGGTCCACTCTGCAGGAAAACCGTCATCTCCAGAGACACTGCCTAGGACAAACTACTAAGCCTGAAGTGCATGAGCTCTTCTGGCCCTGGTGACAACAATCCAGGGTTATCACATGCAAGATCAAGACCCAGAGGAAAGCTGTCTGCCCCTTTGTACACAAAGCCTATCAAAAGTGGAAGCCTGTCCCAAAATGAAAGCCAGGATTAGCAGTTTCAGTCTTCAGGAAAGGAGATGGAAAACACTACTGCCCTGTGAGACTCAGTCATTCCCTGCAACACTCCAGTTAACTATCTGGGACAACCTAGTGAACCAAGTAGCCTCAACTTCTCAGCTAAGCAAAAATACAGCTGCAGAAGAATCTCTCATGGGGCAACAAGATTTTGGAAGATCTAGACACAGTAGGAATCTTGGGACAGGTGACACCATTGGTGCTCTTCAGACTTCAGGAAAGCCTTTGACTTGGTCCCCAAGTCTTATGCATCAGAAGATGAACTACAACTTATGTTTTAACATATACGGCACTACCATTACATGTCTACAGCTTGTTTCACAGCACCTAAATGGCACCTGATGTTCTGATGTTAAGTTTGATGTTCCAAAACACCTGGCACCCAAGTGCCAGTGTATGGTCAACCACCAACATAATTATGATGCACCCTGTACATTTTGCAGAAAGGAAATAATGTCCAATAGACTCAAGCAAGAGCAATGCTTCCTGCAGTATCCCGGCCCAAAACCTAAATTACAAAAAACCTAGCATACAACATTTCAGAAATATATATGACAGCTTGGTATGTTTGTCACTCATAGCACATCAATATCCTAAATGAATCTTCAGATTGGTTGACACCCATCTCTTACAATAATTCAGACAATTCAAACACTTTCTCACAATACTGATGCATCAAGTTTTGCATTTTTCATGATTTATAGCATGGATGATGGGTGTTGCTTGTGGGTAGGAGTATATATATGTGAGAGTAGGTTTAGGAGCAGGTGTAGAACTATGATTATAGCCTAATTAGTTACATTAGTACACTCACATAACCCTTTTGTTGGTCATCATCATGATTTATACCTCATGCTGTAAGAACACCTTGTATATCAATAAGTGTTTTTAAGATATAGCATATCATAATAAGTTTTTATGATATAAAATGCCATAAGAAATACAAAAAGAGACATCTTACAGCATTGTTGTAAGATGCCAACATCTTATAACATTGTTGATACAATACTGACACATCAAGGCCATCCTGCTATATCAATGTCACCACTTTTTCACTGTTAAGCTATTGTGTACCAATATTTCATGGGTTCCTGCAACTGGGTCAAACCAAAGGGGAGTATAGACTTTGCAATGGCTTTTATGGGGATTAAGTGGGGAACAAGTATGATGCATAACAGCAGGAGTAGTTAGGAGTGGGAGTGGTAGTAGGAGCACAAGTATGCCTACCATTAATGGTAAAAACTAGGGTAGGGGAGGGTTACATAAGTTATAAAATTGGCTGCATGCAGTACTTATGCTGACCAGCTTAAAGCATCATACTATCATATGAATATGCCATATTTATGTTATGTAGATCAATCAACAATCAGCATGCAGAAGCTCCACCATAAGAGGCAAAAGCTGGCCTTGATCTGTCAAGATGGCCTTAGTGAATAATTAATATGCCATCAGCATTGTATACAAATCTGTGTAATATGTATCACATTCCTAAGGTAAGATTGCAGCCAATGGATAAGATGTCCCTGTTTTATGATCATTGATGGTGTTTTGTGTTTCAAAGGTGATTCATGTACAATGCAGTCTTATCAAGAAAGGGACAAATGTTTACTTCAACATATTTGTTTGATTCCCCAGGTGGCACAAATTATTAAAAAGATATTAATGTTGCCCATCCCATATTTCTGAGAAACATGACCATCACACCTTATGGTGGCCAATCATTCCCAGTTGTAAACATCCTTTTCCTGCAATCAGCATTCAATACTAAAGAAATAATTCTATTCTCAGACTGTATTACTGTCATAAATATATTTACCTCACTATTATTCATTGATGGCACACTTGATTCCAAATTGGCATAGTAGGTATTGAGCCTGACCATGTCCATATATGCTCCAAGACCCGCATACGAATAGCGCGTCATTTTAAGATTTACATGAGCAGTTGTAATCACCCATCGAAATTATTTGCAACCTGCATAAGACTTCACACAAAAAAATCCTAGTGACGAAATCAACGCACACCGCACCCGACTTACAAGTTAGCACCAGCACACTTACCTCGTCTTTTAAACTGTAGATATCTTCCTTGTCAATTGATTTTGACATGCTCCGACTCATTGTCCCCCGTTTAGACCCATTCCTAATGTCATAATTACAGGAAAACACATGCTCAGCCATCTTGACTGTTTACAATGTCACGTGACTTACGGTATATCAGCTGTTCTGGAATATGGCCTAGGATAATCTTCTAGCTGCTACCAGATAATTATTTCAAGCGTGTTACAACGCGCCTGCCCATCGTTTATTTATACAGCGATAATGCTGATGTCGAATGCCATTCGGGAATGCTTACTACATCTAACATGCTGTTCCTGCAATTCATGCCCAATGTACTTTCGACAATGCAATAAATTAACGCACGTACGGCTTACCATAGCGTGGTCACGATCCACGCTTTTAGCATATAGACGCTTTCAGCATGCTCAATAAATGTGAGCATTGAGTATCATCCAAAGTTGAAGCTTTTAAGGACAGGTTAAGTGCCATGCATGCCGTGGGCAAAAGGCAGCTATGTGGCATTTCTATAAAATGCGACATATTTCATTCACATAGAAAGGCTAAGACACGGGCAAGCTTTAGAAGCTCCGTTAACGTTATTCTGCCGCACGGATATTCAAGAAACGTTCTCCATGACCGTGTGCACGGATGTGATTTGATACCAAATCATTGAAAGGTTATACTAGTACAGTATAGTTCAGCACAATCTGGGTTAAGTTCTTCTGTTCGTTAAACTCTTCTCAGCAGGATACCCTCGAGTGTCTGTTATCATGATTGGTTTATATTTTTGCATCGGTTATTTTATTGGCTAAAACTGCAAAAGGTTCTGCTGACGCATTTCCCTGAATGCGCTAATCGTCATCACTGCCATCTGCCACACCGAAACATCGAGACAAATGCGAACTACGAAATATGTGCGGTGTGGACCGAATCTGTTGTTGTAAGTGGGTGATGACTTTCGGATTGGGGCAGTCGTGTTATGATTTAGGTGGGTTTTATTCAAACCATTGAAGTACGCGCCGTTAAAAGACATCTTTTTTACTGATCAACTGTTTGGACTGCTGTAAATTTTGTGCAGCATTCGTGATTTCATCCACAAGGAGGACAAAGAGCCATTTGCAGGTGCGCCACATTTTGTTTTCGGTTCGCGCTTAGGGTCAATAGGGCTATATCCGCGGGGCTGTATGTCGTGGAGGATTTGTTTCCCCTGGAGAACTATGTGCCAACATTTGGCTTGCTGTGTAACAGTTATTGGCTGTCTTAGCTGCAAAACTGATTAACAACATACATGTCTTCTGGTGGTTAGTGGTGCCAACTATTGTAGCATCACATGTCTAACAGATTGACCACAATTCATTTGTGTGGACTTTTTGTATATCCTGACCACATTGAGCAACCCTTGCTCACTCCATTAGATTATTTCAAGTTATTCATGTGTTGTCAACCTTGTTGACATCTTCAGAAAAGCCACTTTACCATATATTATGTTTGGAATGAAACTTTTTGTAATTGTTGTATACCTCACTTGGAATTTGTGGTGAGGATCTGCTCAGGTGCGCAATTTCAGTACAGATCTGAATGCATGTGTGATGATTTCAAGCAGAGCTAGGCTGTATATGTAGACTTTGATTATGTGGCATCCTCAAAAATAAGTTTGGTGATTCATTTTGTATGAAATTTCCTGCCCCTAATGCTAAATTCTGGTCTATGTTATGTTAGTTTGGCCAAGGCTCATCTAAGCCATTTATCTTTTTGTATTCATTTGGTATGAACTGAACACCATTGCACTCTTTTTTGCACATTGGGCCTTTTACTGTTCTGCAATGTGTTTATATGCTGGTCGTGTTGATTAAAACAGTCGTTCATGTTATTTCATTCTCCATTATCTTTCAGTCTGGCACTAGGATTCTAAATATGATGCCCGTGGGTAATAATACCAACAGCTAGAATAATATCCAAAATGGTTGTTAGGTGCACTGCTTATGACATTGATGTATTAGTATAGCTTGGGTGGTAATGTACATGTAATACTCATGTTCTATATGAGTTCTTGTTATGTTGTTTTAGTAGCTGGTGACTGTAGTGTGTAATTAGTCATTTCAGCTACAGCAATGAGAAGTAATGGTATGGGTAATGTTGCTTCTTAGTGCCTGATGTAACACAGTTTAAAATAGATCAATTTCACCTGGAACCAGAATAGGTTTAGTTGATTCCAGAGTTGACTCTTACTCTGCCTAAATGTAGGTAAAAGTAAAACTATGATGCCCACCAATCTAATCTAAGAAATATCTGGTTTCTGCGTTATATGTATTCAGATGCTTCAATTTCAGTAAAGGCAGAAAATGTCATAATTTGGCATGATTGTCAGACCTGTGTATGTGCCCCATTATGATGTCATGCTGCTAATGTGTTGCTTTCCTTTTGCCACTTCTATGTTGCTGACATGCTACTTTCCTTTCAATACTTCTGTGTTAGAGGCATGTTGCTTTCCTTTCACCACATCTCTTTTGCTGGCAGTCTGCTTTCCTTTCAGCATTTCTCTGTTGCTGGCATGCTGCTTTCCATTCAGCGCTTCTCTGTTGCTGGCATGTTACTTTCCTCTCACCACTTCTCTTTTGCAGGCACTTCCTCCAGTCTGCTTTGGCTTTAGATGACTGATATGCACAAATTGTGAGATTTTTCTTTCACATTGACATTAGTCAGATCTTGGTTTGAATGTTGGTTGTTGCCTTGTTTTGATGGTCTTAGTGAGCTTATTGTTTTCTTGTGTTTAACTTCCTTCCCATACTGATGTTACCTTGCCTTTGGATGTTTTAGCTGTTGAAATACATGCATTATACCCTCACTGGCTTATATGTGAGCTGTTAATGCAATAGTATCTGACATGAATTTAATTTTGTATATATTGGTCATTATGTCTCAGTGCATCATTAAGATACATTGAACTTAACATGTTTCCTTTGCTGTTAGTTCTGCCTTGTTCTGTTCAACTTGAAAGTTGGAGGTTCAAAGACAACCATCATTGCAAGGTTGTGTAGTGCCAGCATGTGTTAAGTTGAGTGTGTGTCCTTTCCAGAAATATGGCGTAGACAAAAGAGGAAACCATGAAGATTGACAGATCGAAGCTGCGCAAGAGCAGCTCGCAGGTGGTAAGTTTGTCCCATTTTTATCTTAGAGATCATAACCCATATATACCTTTGTTGAACATCTTTTAGACTTTACCAGCAAGGTTTTTGTGTGTGGGAGGAGGGGGATAAGGTGATGACAGGTATGACTGTGTTATCACTGTGGAACTCATGTCAGTGCATGAGTGAATGGAGCCTGTCATGTATGGGAGGCCTTACAGGCAGGACTGATTTGTGTATTCCAATATACTCCTGCACTGAGTTTAGCAGGCAGAGCTGCGCTGATGATTGCAGATTTACAATGTAGTAGATAATGGCACTGCTGCAATATTGGCTGGCCATAAGCACATTTAGGCCTGGCAATTTCAGTTGATGAAGTGGATGGTTTAAATAGCTCATGGTTTTAGTAATTGTGATGAAAGCATTGGGGTAAACATATTGATGTCAGTGTTTATTTGTGACAGTAGCCGGCCTATGAGCCTGTAGAACTGCTTTAGGGTGACTGATCCCAGTGCAAGCCAGAGCATGTTGTCCTTTATGCCAATTTCAGAAAGGGGGATATTGGTTGGCACCCAGTCTGTTAGTGATGTACCTATGAGTCTGATGATGTTCAAATAGCTTCATGATTCGTAGCTGGTGTGTTGGCCTACATCACAGCATTCCAAAATTTATCCAGTAGGGTGTGCAGGATGTAAATATAAATTTGTGCTACCCAAATCCTGGCTCTTAGGCGGTCCCCGCATGCCGTTCTGTGGTGTTGCATCTCAGCCTGCTCTGACTGCTAAGGTTTGACATCAGTCATTAAAATGCCCAAGAATAGAAGTGTGGATTTCTACACATGGTGGTGCATGTTAGTGTGAACACCTCATTGTCCGAACACCAGTATTTTTGGTACAGTTGTCCGTTTCCTCGTCGGTGGTAGTAGCGGTAAATTTTGCCCAGTTGTGAGCATGATCTCTGGGATCTCCACATGTTTTTGATCAGTGCTTGTCAGCCCCTTTTTGTATTGAAAATGATATGCTTCCCATGTGGATCTAAGAAAGGCTTGAAATGGTTTTGATATGATGCTTCCCATGTTATTAGAATGGAGATGTGAAGGCATATTGTTGACACTTTAACATTGTAGAAATGCACATGATCAAATGACTTGAATTTAATTTCATGCAAATATTATGCTACCACATACAAAAAATGTTGCCACTACAACTCAAAAGAGTGACTGGTCTGGCTAGCCCGGGCCGAGCCGGGCGACCTAGTCCGCGCAAGCCACGAAATTTCCTGATGAGTTAGGCTCGGTACCACTTGTGCTGGACTTGTAGGGCTTTTATATCAGTTGTCAGGAGTAACCAAACTTTTGTTATCGGCAGTCAATTGTCACATTGAAACCCATACCATTGATTGCCTAGATCGTAGATGCTGGTACAAGAAGTGGTGTGATTTTGTATGCCTCAACCTTTTATGCATCATAAATATCAGCTGCCTAGTTGTGCCATGTGGCGACTCACATGTGGCTGCTTCCCCAGCCACCTGACTGCAAGGCAGTGATAGAACAGCTGAAGAACTGTGATGAGACAGAGCTGCTGAAGGAGCTGAAGAAGTTCGAGACATGGAACCTGGGCAAGTGCGAGTTGTTCCACTGGATCGACCTGTTAGACGTGCTGGATGGCGTGCTGGAGGAGGCGGCGGCGCGGGTCCAGCCAGACGGCTGGATGCTGGCCTGCGACCTGCCCACCTACAGCCCTGTGAGTAGCCGTCAGCTGTCCCGCCCGCTGTGGCGGGTACAACGCGATCGGTGGTGAACTGTCGGAACCCTAGAAGTCTCGAACATCAAGCGATATCATCCATTTTCACCAATCGTCAGGGCTGATGGGGGTTGTGGTGGTTTCCTGCCCTTTTACCATGTCTGTTTTTTTCAGAAACGGGAGCTCCTCCTACAAACGCTTCACTTCACGGCACTACTCATTGAGCATTCATTTTCACGTCATCTGTACAACTCCGTGGAACACCTGATACAGCTGCTGGAGGCATCTGATATGCAGGTGAGGGCTTGAACGTTACTGGTAATGCACAAGATACAATTTATAGCCTACTGTTGTCATTATTTGACCCATGCCGTCTTGGATGTGGTACTGCGTGGTGGACACTAAATCAAGGCTAGCTTTGGATATGACTGTAAGAAATCCACCATTATTGCAGAGATGTGAATGAAAGGAAGGCTTGTATTTTTGCTGAGTAAACACATCTTTGGACCAACTAACATTTCAGAGTGTTAAATTGAGCTCCTGTCCTGTGAAAATTGAATGCAATTGTGTGCCCGGAACAAAAAGGATTGAGATCACAGGTGGTGTTTCATCATTCATACAGTGCTAATTGGAGCCTTTGAGATGTGGCGTGAAGTATGATAGTCATGAGTCTTGTTGCAGAAGAGCTTACTCACCTTTAATTTAGACTTCTTGTGTTGCTGCACTTGAACATGAAAGTGATGGTGGTAGCACAGTGTCACTGCAGATGCTGGATTGAATGAAATGTGACAAGTAATGGGCGCCATGTGGTTGTATGTACATCAACACCTTCCCAAATGTCATTGTCATGCCTTGATGTCATGTCTGACTGGCAGGTGGTCCTCCATGTCCTCAACCTCATCTACATGTTCAGCAAGAGAAGTAACTTCATCACGCGCCTGGGTTCGGAGCGGCGCGGGGCGCTGATCGTCCGCCTCACACACCTGGCCGAGGTCGGGCACCCTTCGCGCGGCGGCGCTGCTGTGTCAAAAGACAAAGGGCTTATGCCTGTGCTGCCATTCTTGGCATGCCACATCTGACTCATCTCATAGCGGTTGTTGGTCGTTGCATTGGGGCTGCCACTCTGGCGTACCGCGTTTGACTTCGCTGGCGACTGTCGTGGGTCGCTACGCTGGGGTTGGCTGCGTCGGGTTGTGTGGTATTTGCCGCCTGACTGGGGGATCTTCGCTGAGGGAAGACTGCCTGTGCAGTCCGCCTCGCCCCGCAGCACCTGATCATTGCTGTCACTGGGTTTGCAGAGCTGGGGCGGACGGGAAAACGGATTTGGCCTGGCCGACTGCTGCAGAGACATCCCCGTATCGGTACGTCGAAAGCCTCAGAAGTGGCCCGGTAGTGATGGCACATTTGTCGTGGTAAACGCGGGTATGACGGAGCTGTAGTTATGTCCCATGGGAAGACACGTAATGTCCGTCACGTTTTGCTTTTCTGTGGTATGACAAAGCGTCGCATGACGCTGTAGCCGCTTTGGTGAGAACTCGGGACCAGGGAAATGATGACCCATTGCCGCGAAGTTGGATAGTTCGGGCTATGACGAGTGCAGGTAATATAGGATGGATCATTATCCGCCGCCCGTAGGTAAGAAGCATAAATGCCGTTTTTTCAGAGATGACGTGATTTATTTCATTGCATGCTCGCCAACATTTGGAACAATTTGCATTCAAAATATTTTTAGCGGCGCATAAGCCTGCTTTTAGTGCCTGAAACATAAGAATGATTCAAAACAAGTTTCCTGGTGGCGCTAAGGCCTGTTTGCCTTCAGACGGCAGATCACGGTTTGTCAAAATTCAGGTGGTAGTGTGTTGCCGTCGTTTTTCGTATTTGATGGGAATGTTTTACATTTGAAGACACTGAAGCAAAGCATCAGATATGATGACATAAGTTCACTTATAACTATCGTACTATTAAGTGGAAAAGACTGCTTTAAACAACACCATTCCTCTATTCAGTTGATATGCTCCCGAATACATTAGTTAATAGCGTCATCATACCTTGCACGACACTGATTGAAGGCCATTGACGGCCGTCATATCTGGAAGTCGTGCTCGCGAACGCTATACGTGGGCAACATACAGTTATATTTTTATTGGCCTTTATCGCTGCATGGCCAGTGGAATGACATAATTTAAATTGCGTTATTATGGCGTCATGGATGCCGGGGTGACCTTGTAAGTAGTCTACACGGAAAAGTCTGCGCATCTTTTCTGGCGCGTCATTCAGAAACTAGAGGGCTTTGGGTCTTTGGACAGGGCTGCGCTGAATGCAAAGCTCCATACAAATGTGGAACACCCCCTTTAAAAAGCGCGAAATTTATTGTGTAGGTATCAGTTCTTCCCCACCTCACATTGCTCAAGCATGCATGCAATAATTTTCGGATTTCGGATTTGATCACCTTACGTGCTTATCGGCACTATTTTTATTGCAGCTACCAGGCTGTTTGGTCATTTGCATGAGCCAGAGTTCCAATGGTACAGCACTACATGGTGTTCGCGGCCGGTGTCTTGAACGTTCCCCGTGGATGGGCTTTACCAGTTGTATTCCGCGAAGGAGTGGCGGAAGTAATATCGATTCGGGACTCGTCTGGGCTGTTGTTTTTGTCATTACCGCGATAGCCTGGCGCGGCAACGCGATGTGCACGGGCACAATAAATGGGAATCGTCGCAGCCGCCGGCGCTGTACTGAAAAGGCACGCTGACTGCTCCAGTACGTGCCACCACCAGGTAGAAGGCTTGTTTTGCTGTCGCTGTTGTTGTCATGTGGCGTGCTCGGCTGTCGCCCGGCGGTCACTCGCGGGCCGTGAACGTCTGCTAAAGCGGGCGGCACGTATGCGTCTCCGCAGAGTCTTTCGCCCAGCGCGACGACGCTGCACTTCGAATACTACCTGGAGGAGGGCGAGGCGGGCCAGGGCGCCGCGCTCCAGGTCATCCACTACCCGGACGTGGACCAGCACCGCGACCAGACGGCCGCGCAGCTCATGGAGCGCCTGCTGGCCACGCACAAGGTGCCCGAGAACAAACAGGTGCGTGATGAGACAAGTGGCAGAGGCGGGAGCTGAGCCGAGACGAGCCGGACAGGGCAGGGCGGGTCAGGGCAGAGCAGGGCAGGGCAGGGCAGGGCAGGGCAGGGCAGGGCAGGGCAGGACAGGACAGGACAGGACAGGACAGGACAGGGCAGGGCAGGACAGGGCAGCGCAGCGCAGCGCAGCGCAGGGCAGGGCAGGGCAGGCGGGTCCGTACGGTCTGGTGACCCACGCCGCTGTCGTGCCGCTGCCGCAGGTGTGTGCAGCTGTCCTGCTTCTCCATCGCTCCATGCTTCCGTAAAGGGTACCGCGTGTGCCATGTCTGCGGTTGGGGTTGCAGGCCCGTTGATGACTAGTAGCAGCTTGATCCGTGGCTGCCGCGTTGCGTGGTACCAGACGTATGGGTAGTTTCTGTGATCATCTTGTTGGGCTCGGCCGCCGGCCCGTAGGTGTCTGCTTTGGACGCTGTCTGACTCGCTGCCATCCTGTGCCTGACGCCACAATTACAGGTGATGGTGTTCACGTACCTGCGACTGGCCAAGCTCTTCTCCGACTACCCGGCGCGGCTGTGCTGCGTGCAAGCCCGGCTGCAGGCGCTCTCCATCCTAGTGTACTCGCACGCCTTCCAGGTGGGTGCACCAGGCCTTCCAGGTGACGGGCCAGTTGACGGCGACGGGTGGGCGCCGGTGCCGGTGTCGGTCTGGCATGTGATGGCTCACCCACGTGGCCAATGTGTGATGAGGGCGCGGCGGCGCCTGTCCGGCGAGGTGGCGGGGTTCGGGGGGGGGGGGGGGGGGGATTAGTGCTTCAGTTGGCTTGGTCGATAGTGTGTCCGCCGCAGGCCTTTGCTGTCCGTATGATCGATGCTCTGACGCGGCACACCTGTAGGCCGAGTGACATTGACCGCCGACGGCGTATGCTATCCTGTTGCGAACGTATGTCCGTGCTCGATCGGCCTGTGCGCCATCTGCATGTATCTGTGGTGGGGAGAATAGTAATTATATTTCAATTTCGCCCTCGTCCTCACACAGGAAGGTGGTGTTTGCACTGTTGCTCTCTACAGATGCATGGTGCCGTAACCTGTGAGGACGTTCCTTAAGCTCTATCCTAGTGGCCAGCGGTGACCGACAGCACTGGGAGCAACGTCGATGTTGGGGCACTGCTGCGGGGGCACTATAGGCGCCGTCTGGTGCACAGAGTCCTTGCCGCGCTCTTACGCCGCTGTTGCCGCTGCAGGACAACGTGCACACGCTTTTGTACGCCGGCCTGCTGGAGGAGTTGGTGGAAATGCTGGAGATGACGGAGGAGAACCTGGTGGAGATCAAGGCGGCGGCGCTGCGCACGCTCACCTCCATTATCCATCTGGAACGGAACCCCAGCCTGCCCAAGTAAGGGCTTGGCAGGCTGCTGATGGTCCGCGGTGGTGCCGGCCTTCCGATTCGTAACAGTCGCGCCCTCACCCTGGATGGGTTTGTCGGGGACATTTGGAGCAGGCGGCATCAGCGTAGCGGTATTTGGTCGCTGGCTAAATCCTAGCTCGTCAATGACAAGCAAACCAGGGCAAGTTCTCCATCAAGATCAACATATATCCAAATAGTTTGTTTGGGTTGGTTAATTTGTTTTGTGTAGAGGGAAATGGCTGCCGTTAGCTTCTGTAGCTTCCGACGCCAGTGCCTCCTCGAGAGCCGTTGTCTGGCGCCGCCAGCTGCCACGTACGTGATTTTTCGCTGACCCCATACCGCCTGCGTTTCAGACTCAACACCATCATTGAGATCACCGGGGCAAACACGTTCCACGGCTTCCTACCGCAGATGGTGCGCATGTGCATCAACTACCTGACCACCGGCGTCGACCACCCGCTCAGCAGCGTGAGTAGTGTGCCGGTGTCGGCCGGGGGGCGGCGCGTGTACAGCTCGCCAACGGAGCCGTGGTGGCGGTGCTCCCTCAGCGCCGCTGTTTCGACGGCCATCCGATCGCTCCCGACGTGGTGCGGAAGTGTTTGTGCTATGCCAGATTGACGTGTCGAGTGGGGCAGGAGGTGTGCTGGTGAAGGCGCTGCATGCGTCACCGGGGGAGTGGCGCCAACTCCGAAAAGCCTTCTGCTGAGGGTCGGCAACCGTGTCCGTGAACCTGGCCTATTTGGCAATTGGTTCGTCGCGCATGCCTTGTGACAAGATATTTCCAGGCATTTCAGTTCACCGAGTGGCAAGATTATCTCCAGAGGCGTGAAAAATATTTTTACGATGTTGTTTTGCTGTTTGCTGGCGACAGCTGACAACGTAGTGTGGAATCGATGTAGGAGGATAGCTGCTAGGCAAGCAGTGTGGCGTGTATCGTGTGCGGTGTTGTCCCAGTGTGACGTGTATCGGGTGCGGTGTTGTTCCAGTGTGGCGTGTATCGTGTGCGGTGTTGTCCCAGTGCGACGTGTATCGTGTGCGGTGTTGTCCCAGTGTGACGTGTATCGTGTGCGGTGTTGTCCCAGTGTGACGTGTATCGTGTGCGGTGTTGTCCCAGTGCGACGTGTATCGGGTGCGGTGTTGTCCCAGTGTGACGTGTATCGTGTGCGGTGTTGTCCCAGTGTGACGTGTATCGGGTGCGGTGTTGTCCCAGTGTGACGTGTATCGTGGTGCGATGTTGTCCCAGTGCGACGTGTATCGGATGCGGTGTTGTCCCAGTGTGACGTGTATCGGGTGCGGTGTTGTCCCAGTGTGACGTGTATCGTGTGCGGTGTTGTCCCAGTGCGACGTGTATCGTGTGCGGTGTTGTCCCAGTGAGACGTGTATCGGGTGCGGTGTTGTCCCATTGTGACGTGTATCGTGTGCGGTGTTGTCCCAGTTGACGTGTATCGGGTGCGGTGTTGTCCCAGTGTGACGTGTATCGGATGCGGTGTTGTCCCAGTGTGACGTGTATCGGGTGCGGTGTTGTCCCAGTGCGACGTGTATCGGGTGCGGTGTTGTCCCAGTGCGACGTGTCTCGTCCCAGTGTGACGTGTATCGGGTGCGGGGTCGTCCCATTGTGAAGTGTGTCTGGTGCAATGTTGATAGCGTCGCCCCGTACGCCGTGCGCCGTGTGCGGTGTGGCCTGCCGGCTGGCGCGCGCCACCCTGACCCGTTCACCGCCGGCCGGCAGTCGGTGCTGACGACGGCGCTCTTCTCGTTCCTGTACCACCTGGCCAGCTATGAGTCGGGTGGCGAGGCGCTCGTGCAGTGCGGCATGATGCAGAGCCTGCTGGCCGTCGTGTCGTGGGCCGGCAAGGTGCCCGACCATGTCACGGTAAGCAGCCGCTGTCGACTGCCTGGTCTGCTGTCCGGCCATTGTCGGGCCGTTGTATGGACTCCCGTCGTACGCCACGCCGCGCCAAACTGTGCATAGATGTAGGCAATTGAAAAGGGGATCCTTTTGTATAAAAATAGGATGTACATTGTAAGGCCGTTGACATGTGGCGGGTCAAAGTGAAGCCGTGGCTGTCTGCGAGGTCAGTTTTCATAGAATCGTTCAATCTGATGAAACAACATGGAGTGGTGGACAAAGCCATGCTTTTGAGATAGTTTTTTAGGCAACTAGACAATTGATTTGGGAATGCGGCAAAGGCTGTTGACCTTGGGTCAGGTATGAGGGTTGGACCGAAGCCAAAAGCAACTTGTTTATGGTCTGGAGAGCTTACTCTATGTGATAGTTTCTGATGCTCGTTGGGAATTTGTTGATCACATAGGCCGCAACGGACATTTTCATGGTTTTCTTAAAGGTCAGTAAGTCACCAACATAACTTGACCCGGATCAACTTTTTGTTTTTTTCGGAACATACTGCCTATTGGTTCATGGCGCTTATTCGAGTTAAACAACCAAAACAATTTTATGTTTTTAGTCACCATGATCTAAGGTTCAAACAAGGTCACTGTCCCAAAATGAACACCAGTGACCTTTTGTTGAGAACAGATATCTGGGCTCAAGGAGATTGCATAAAGAGGCCTGCAGGCACTTTGTTCACTTACCTTTAAATTTGACCTCATTTGGCCTTATTTAACCTGAAGATCGTGACCTAGAAGCCTCAAAATTTTGATACCAGGTGAGTTCACATCAGTCCAACCCACTCTGTGAATTTGTCATTTCTAGCTCTCTTAGTTGTTGGTATCCTAGTGTGTGGGGGGGGGGGGGGGGAGGGGACAAATTAACCCTCACCCCACCCTAGTGTGCAGTATTTGATTGGTCACCCGGGCGTGTATTAACGGTCCTGCGTGGTCCTGCGTCAGTGCCAGTGGCGTCTTAACTGGAGGGACGTTACGACCAGGACTGGCGAAATTGCATAGCCCCAGAGACATGTATGACGGCATAGAAACGTCACGCGAACACTGCGCCTTATTGGTCTTGCTGTGCTCATAATCAGGCTAAATGTAACCGTGGAAACGTTTTGTTGTAATGCAGCATCGAATGTTCCAATGATGGAAGGCAATTGAGTTATAGTGATACACCGCTGGTATTTGTGTGTCTCGACAAGAACCGCGTTTCGCTATAAATGACGGGTGTTTTACCGGTCAACCACTGGACATGACCGACATGAGGAACTTTCACTTGAAGTCCGCAAGCCCGCAGTGCGCAGGTTCAAACAGCTCAAAAGTTGTACCTCTGGTTCGTAACAGCTGACGACGGCCGTGGCAACTGCAGATGTCTCGGATTCGGTCGGCGTACACATTGGGGTACACTCTGGCTACTCTAAAAAATAAGTGTAGCTCTGTAACAAAACGTTGACGGCGTAATTTGGGCGCACAAATCATTAAAATTTTCCTTTTCATTATGTCATGGTGGTGCTCCATTGGCACTACCCATTGCTATTGTTAGACGTAAATGGTCCTGAGTTTTCACCTTAGTGTGTATTTTGTAAATATGTCCCAAAGATGGGCTACTCCATTTAAGTCCACGGAAAGGGAAGACAGAATGCCTGCAAGGGTGAGACAGCATCGGTGGCTATCATGATGGCAGCAAGAAAACAGAGGTCCCTACAAGGCTGCAAATCGCACAATACCCCGGCTGCCGACTGCGATTCAACAGCGCGTGGTGAATTCTAGGCCGGCAGGCTTTCGCAGCCAAAGATGCGGGGCGGTGCAGTTTCAGTTAGGACCTTCCCAAGAAAATCCGTAGCGTGAGCGAGGCTGAAGCCCGACTGCGCTCGCTACAGAGACACGCCCTTTTTTAGGTAGCTCACAATGCAACATCATAGCTCCGCTGTTGAATGATAAGAAACGAGACATTGAAATTAGTATGCCTTTGCACAACGCTTGTTCGGTGGCATGCGTGAGAAATTACCACCAAACGAAATTTAAGTACGTTCCTAAGTGCATTTGGGTGGAACATTATCACATAGATAAGACAGTAGTAATCTCCTTATTTCTCCGAGAGAAACCAGGAGAATGAAGGTCATAGGTTGGCATTTCAGCAACATGCCTTGTTCGAAACAATAGCGAAGTGCATTCCTTCTGCTATTGTTCACTATAATTCACTGTAGTTATAGGGAGTTATATAATTCACTGTAATTCACTTCTGCTATTGTTTCGATAAAGGCATGTTACCGAAATATATCCCCATTTATGTCTCCATTTCCTGGTTTCTGCCCGAGGAATCAGGCTCTTACTACTGTCCTATCAGAACGAAATTTACAAAAACGGCCTTCCACAGATTTCTACGTGAAGCGCGTGTTGGAAATTGCGGAATGCTTAACATTCGGATGTGTAATTTATGTGCGCGGTACATTTCATATTTTCAAACGAACCGCGGAATACACGGTCCTTAGATCCTCCAGCCGGGGCGCAAGCCCACCAACCTGACCGGTTGGCGATGGCTGGAGCATGAGTCATTGCCGTGTGACATCAGTATACCTGAGCGGCGGCCACAGTTGCGCCCCGCCCCGTCCGCGGCCGGTCCTGTGTTTTTATTGAATGGTCGGCCAAAGGACGCCAGTGGGCGCCATGTGGGGCCAACGCTCGCCGCCGCTCGGACACAAACCCGGTTTGGCGTGTCTCGGTGTAAACAGCGTAATGCCGGCGTGTTAGTATATTTAGTTGGGCTGGTAGACAACAGAGCCTGGATGACCATGCGCCGCCCAAGTTTGACAGTTTGTGATGGAGCGTTCATGAATTAAGAAAGTGTTCATGAGCACATCGCCCACCATTGAGCATTGTACAGGACTTTTAGCGTTGGATTGGGCATCTCCAGCGCTGATGTGTTTCGTACAATCGCTGGAAACATGGCACATTGTTCGATATTTTTTCAGTTTGCCGCTTTTTTATTTTCTCAGTTTTCTCAGATTTTGTCAGTTGTTATAGGGCCTTGGTTTGCGGTAGGTATCGAAGAATCATCAAGTTACGTGAAAAAATGAGTTGCATGCTAGGCATTCACACGTGCAATCGCAATTCCTTGGGCTCCTCTTTAAAAGAATGACCAACGTAGCCAGGCGGAAGATGCGAGAACAAACCATGTCCTGTGAGCAGCTGCGATAGCTGTCAAAACGTGTAACGCATTCGGTGCGCCCGACGCGCGTAAAAAGACATTCGTCTGGCAGCCCAGTCCGGAGCGTGACAATGACGAAACACGAAACTATACGAAACCTGGATCTTATGGGACTGACAGTCTATTGCTGAAACGCACGACCTCATAGAATGATGTGTGGGGGGCCAACTCACGGCGTTTTCCGCGGTGTTGTGACGTCACGATCAGATGTCGTTAGATGACTGTCATGTCACGTCGTCAGGTGCCGGAACGGAGCATAGTTTGGGATCGAATCGCATCGCTCAATGGTTCATTGCTGGTGAGAAACTTGTTGTGGTAACAGCTTTCGGCACCGTGAACAACACATTGTTGCCGATGTGTTATTGTCTAGACAAGCTCGCCACTTGGAATGCAAACTCGAGGGTTTTTCTGTGTTGAGAGATTGATGAGAGAGACATTGTTGAATCAGAGAAGCACAGTACTTACTCGGACTCATATTTACCCAGTTAAGGCCTGCACCAACTCAGACTCGCTTACGGCAATACGCCTGCGTCACGTCGGGCAGATATCTGGCGCGGAGCGGGGATCTATCTGCCGTACGGGACGACCACCCCATGCCGCCACTGTCGTGACTCACGTATGATAATCACGCAGGGATACTGAGAGGGTGTTGCACCGTCGGCGCCACGGTCGCTGGCTCTCGCTGAATCACCGCGGCCAGACGCTATCGCCATCCTCCCCCAATGCGCCGGGTCGGACCGTCCCACTCCAGACCGGGAGGGAGGGGGGGGGGGGGGTGACGACACGGTGCCGCCCTCCTGCGGCGTCGATGCGCCCCGTCTGACGCGCCGCTGCTGCGCACACCCTGTTGCAGTTCGTGACCCGCGCGGTGCGGGTGATCGACCTCATCACCAACCTGGACATGACCTCGTTCCAAACGCACAGCGGCCTGCAGAAGTTCGTGGACCGGCTGGAGGTGAGTGAGACGGCCGGCTCACGAGTCGGGCCGATACAAAGCCAGTCGGATGGTTCTGGTATAAGGCATGCTTGTCTTTTTTGGTCTTATTGGGGCAGCGTTGTGTACAATGCCGGAGGCATAATCTTCGACAGGCGAGGACGGGCACCGCCGCAAGCAACAGGATTGGAGACCACCGAAAGCGACGAAAGCGGCTGTACAAAATTATATGTTGCTCATTTCTGTACAATGTGATGTCAGGTCACGGTCATGACATTGTCTCGTGGTGCAAAGTCATCCCATACCATCTGCGGGTGCTTGCGAGGTCATCCCACATCATCTGCGGGTGCTTGCAAAGTCGTCTGACATAGTTGGCGAGTGTTTGGAGTCATCCTACATCATCTCCGGGTGCCCGCAAAGTCATCCTCGATCATATCGGTTTTTTGTGGGCTTTGTTGACAATAATTGGTAGTTGGTACCAATATATGAACGAAGACTTGCCGCATGACGACGCCGCGCATGACACGTTGGATACGGCGGTACTTTCAAGGTCGAATATGGATGGTGACGCATGATGGCCTGTTTGAACCTTATCTCATCCGATAATATTTTTTTACAAAGTTTGATGCGGAACACGCTTTACGTTCCTACCTCCATCACCTGCGTTCCCAAGCATTACGGTTAACCCAATTTGGAAGTCGCTGGATAATCTGAGGGAACCAATCAGTCATTGGAAGGCTCGTAAGATAAAAGGAGCTCCACACTTAGCTTAGTTTGACCCTGAATCAGCGGGGGGGGGGGGGGGGGGGGGGCTACGACACCTTCGCCAGTGACGCGAGTGAACATTATCGCTTGTCAGGCTCTCACCCAGCTCGAGAGAATTCTCAGTTCTTTCAAGAACCCCTCTCACGCTCCTTCTGTCCTGCCTGAAACCGGTTTGCGTGTCATTTATTTACGTCATCTGCATCAGACGTAGCATTCGCCGACGTGGTGTTTTGTTTCCCGTACGTTAATGTGGTGCACGTGGCCGTATGCTGCTCAACACTTCTGAATGCTGCGACTAGCTATTTGCTGTGCTATGAATGCTTTTGACGGGCTTTCTTTAGTACTTTGCAAAATGTACCCTTCTAAAGGGATTCGATTGCTTGCAGCTGCAGCTCAAGTACCTTCTTGATGTCGTTTGGATTCGATAGCCCTAAGTGCGGGGTCAGCGTCCGCATTGTGGCGGCGAGTGACCTGGCGGCAAGTCCTGGGAGCCGTCACCATCGCCTGACCGTATCCTGTGTCTGCAGGCCGAGGTGGATATCTGCCGCAAGGAGCAGCCCTACCAGATCCCAGTGGCAGCGGCGGTAGAGCGGCCCGCCGAGACTGCCGCCGCCGCTTCCGTCCCCGCCGCCACCGGCGCCGCGCCGCCAGCCACCAGCCCCGAGCGGATGGACGTGGAGCCCGCGGCGGCGGCGGCGGCGGCGCCAGTGGCCGGTTCTACCTCGGCAGCCGCGTCGGCGCCGGTCGAGGCAGCGGCAGCCGGGCCGGAGGTGACCTGCCTGCCGCAGCGTAGCGCGCTGCTCAAGTCGCAGCTGAACTTCCTCAAGAAGGCCATCCAGGACCCCTCGTTCAGCGAGAGCATCCGCCACCTGATGGAGGGCAGTCTGCCCAACACGCTGAAGCACATCATCAGCAACGCCGAGTACTACGGCGCCTCGCTGTTCCTGCTGGCCATCGACGTGGTCACCGTGTACGCCTTCCAGGAGCCGTCGCTGCTCAGCTCGCTGCAGGATAACGGGCTGACGGACGTGGTGCTGCACGCGCTCATCGTCAAGGAGGTGCCGGCCACGCGCGAGGTGCTGAGCTCCCTGCCCAACGTGTTCAGCGCTCTGTGTCTGAACGCGCGCGGCCTGGAGGCGTTTGTGGCGGCGCAGCCGTTCGAGCGGCTGTTCCGTGTGCTGCTCTCGCCGGAGTATCTGCCGGCCATGCGGCGGCGGCGCGGCTCGGAGCCGCTCAGCGACACTGCCACCAAGCTCGGCAACGCCATGGACGAGCTGATGCGGCACCAGCCGAGCCTGCGCGTGGCCGCCACCGCCTCCATCATCCGCGTGCTGGAGAAGCTGTGCGAGATGGGCCGCGACCCGCAGTACCTGTGCAGCCGCGCGGCCGGCAAGCCCGAGCCGGCAGTGGGCGCGTCGGTGCGCTCGATGAGCCAGGAGGGCGGCTCGTCGGACGAGGAGGACGAGGAGGAGGACCTGCCTGGCGACGGCGCTGATGAGAGCGCGACCCGCCCGCCCGACAAGGACGAGCCAGCCGCCAGCTCGGCCGCCGCCGCCTCCGATGTCGAGAAGCAGCACGTGCCGCTCATCGATTACGTGCACAATGTGGTGAGTGGGCGCGCGGTGGCGAGCGAGTGGTCGCCGCCGGCTGGGTGTTCCGTTCCAGGGATGTTGCTGGCGCGGGAGGATTTCGGGTCAGCGGTCCTGCCTCAGACGCGGTGATGGGCGGGGATGTTTGGCGCCTTCCGGCGCTCCGCCACGGATGCAGAGCAGCTTACGTCGCGGTGGGCGGCGTGCATGGTGTTCAGTGTTAGTGATGCCGGCGAGCGTTACAGTTTTGTTTCAGAGTCCCGGATGGGAGAATAAGAACGCAGAAGGTTTTTAGTGCAACAAGTAACATTCGCGCGTTGAAGGCTGTTAAGTCTGTAAACATTTAAACGTTTGAAAGTGAAGCCAATTGACAGGTCCGAAACTGCAGAGATTAATCAAATTTAATTTCAAATGGGATTTCACGCACGTCATGGCTAGGCTATCGGTAGCCATGTGTGTATGATGTGTGACCCGCCATACGTGTTAAATTCGTCAGTTATGTCCGGTAGCAGGTTATCACGTGCAGATGAGTGTAAAAGCCGAAAAGAGGAGCGAAGGTGCTCTTTTTCGGATGGACAAGACCTGACAGGAGACCATTAATCTCAGCATACTGTGAAAGCTGGGTAGGCTGCCGGCGAGGACGCTTAAGAGCTTTGGGGCCTTGCTATCGAGGCGTGTGTTTGGTGGATCTTATAACAATTACCCACGCTGTAGCTGTTGTATGGTTATGTTGTTGCAGGAAGGCAAGCGTGCGCGATGAAGATTAACATCTGACGTGATATTTACGTAATGTGTGTGAGAGTACTCAGTGCCTGACCTCAGTCGCAGTGCACTTGTCCTTGCAGTTATGCCCACGGCACCATGTGACGAGACGCTGATCCAAATTAAGTAGCATGTTGCGCTAATGTTTTTTCATGCGTGTATTTTGAAAAGAAAGATTATATGTGAGGACCATCTTAACGCGTATAACCTCCGTTGCAGATGAAATTCGTGGATGCAATTCTGAGTAACAACTCGACGGACGACCACTGTCGAGAGTTCGTCTCGCAGAACGGCCTGGCTCCGCTGCTGGGGATCCTGGGCCTGCCGAACCTGCCGCTGGACTTTCCACAGGCGCCCGCCTGCCAGGCCGTGGCGTCCGTGTGCAAGTCAGTCCTGGTGAGTCCTGCGTGGCGCCGGCGGCCGACCAGGCCGCGTCCCTCTCTCTTCCTCCCTCCCTCCCTCCCTCTCCCTCTCTCCCTCCCTCTCTCTCTCTCCCTCTCTCTCTCTCCCTCTCTCTCTCTCTCTCTCTCTCTCTCTCCTCTCTCTCTCTCTCTCTCTCTCTCTCTCTCTCTCTCTCTCTCTCTCTCTCTCTCTCTCTCTCTCTCCTCTCTCTCTCTCTCTCTCCTCTCTCTCTCTCTCTCTCTCTCTCTCTCTCTCTCTCTCCTCTCTCTCTCTCTCTCTCTCTCTCTCTCTCTCCTCCTCTCTCTCTCTTCTCTCTCTCTCTCTCTCTCTCTCTCTCTCTGTCTCTCTGTCTCTCTGTCTCTCGTCTCTCTGTCTCTCTGTCTCTCTGTCTCTCTGTCTCTGTCTCTCTTTCTCTGCTCTCTGCTCTCTTGTCTCTCTGTCTCTCTGTCTCTCTGTCTCTCTGTCTCTCTGTCTCTCTGTCTCTCTGTCTCTCTGTCTCTCTGTCTCTCTGTCTCTCTGTCTCTCTGTTCTCTCTGTCTCTCTGTCTCTCTGTCTCTCTGTCTCTCTGTCTCTCGTCTCTCTGTCTCTCTGTCTCTCTGTCTCTCTGTCTCTCTGTCTCTCTGTCTCTCTGTCTCTGTCTCTCTGTCTCTCTGTCTCTCTGTCTCTCTGTCTCTCTGTCTCTCTGTCTCTGTCTCTCTGTCTCTCTGCTCTCTGTCTCTCTGTCTCTCTGTCTCTCTGTCTCTCTGTCTCTCTGTCTCTGTCTCTCTGTCTCTCTGTCTCTCTGTCTCTCTGTTCTCTCGTCTCTCGTCTCTCTGTCTCTCTGTCTCTCTGTCTCTCGTCTCTCTGTCTCTCTGTCTCTCTGTCTCTCTGTCTACTCTGTCTCTCTGTCCTCTCTGTCTCTCTGTCTCTCTGTCTCTCTGTCTCTCTGTCTCTCTGTCTCTCTGTCTCTCTGTCTCTCTGTCTCTCTGTCTCTCGGTCTCTCTGTCTCTCTGTCTCTGTCTCTCTTGCTGTCTCTCTGTCTCTCTGTCTCTCTGTCTCTCTGTCTCTCTGTCCTCTTCCGTTCTCTCTGTCTGCTCTTTCTCTCTGTCTCTCTGTCTCTCTGTCTCTCTGTCTCTCTCTCTATGTCTCTCTGTCTCTCTGTCTCTCTGTCTCTCTGGTCTCTCTGTCTCTCTGTCTCTCTGTCTCTGTTCTCGTCTCTCTGTCTCTCTGTCTCTCTGTCTCTTCTCTCTCTCCTCCTCCCTCTCTCTCTCTCTCTCTCCCTGCTCTCCGTCTCTCTCTCTCTATCTCTCTCTCTCTCTTCTCTCTCGTCTCTCTCTCTCTCTCTCTCTCTCTCTCTCTCTCGTCTCTCTCCCTCCCTCTCTCTGTGCTGAGCGGCAGTGGCAGGCTACCGGACTTCGTCTCACTGTGCCTGTCGCGGACTCGCGGCATCAACTTGCGATCCCCAGTACGGCTGAGGAGGATCAGCGTTGAAGTTATGGGGTCAGTGAAGGGGAGTTGAAGCTTTTCGACTTCGATGGAAATCTGTGTCTGAAGCCGGCGAATTCTTTTGGCCGTCAGTGGCGATTGGGGATCATTGCGATGCCAGGAACAGTATGCAAAGTCAGGATTATTGCAAACGATCGTGGCCAGCCTAGATCCATACATTCGTAACTGCTTTGAAGTACTCCGGAAGTTTCGTGACATGAAAATCATGGTGGGCTTATTTTAGCCAATTGAATTTGTTCTGTCTGTTGGGGACCAGCTGTGCTGGATCGCTGCCCCAGCTGGGTGTGGGTGAGGGGCATCGCTGCCCTAGCTGGGTGTGGCTGAGGGGATCGCTGCCCCTGCTGGGTGTGGCTGAGGGCATCGCTGTCCCAGCTGGGTACGGGTAAGGGCATCGCTGTCCCAGCTGGGTGCGGGCAAGGGCCGCCTCCAGCCGAGCGTCGGGCACGTAATCGATTCGCGGATCAATGCGGTGCTGCGGCATGTCCTTCATCGGGCAGGCGATCGGTTACCGTTTGTTCTGTATGTATTCCACATCCGCTGGCGCGCTCCGAGTCCCACACGCGTATGGTGTGTGCTGCCGGACGTTTCTGTGTTTTATGTTGTGCAGATTGCATTCGTTGTGCTGTGCGCTGCCGTTACGGAATTACAAGTGTATGAACGTGGAGGTGTGGGGGCCGCGCCCCCTGTACTTCTCAGAGATATTTAACATTAACCCTGTGGTGATCCATGTTGGTAATGAGCCTTCAAAAAGCTTGGCTTGCCCTTTTTCGCGACGTTCCCGCGCCCGCGATTGACCGGGTCCATTTCACCCACCCCTTGGACGCACCGCACAGCCACACCGGCGGCTTGGATCACACAGGCATCAGAGCCGATAGCTCGACACTGTCCACCAGCCGCGGCGCAAAGCCGCCACCCAAGTCGACTGGTGGTCTAACGCTCTGCGTGCGGCAGAACCTGGCGCACGAGGGCCAGGTGCTGAAGGAGGGCCTGCTGCGACTGAGCGAGGTGCTGGCCGCGCTCGAGCCGCTGCACGCCTGCCTGCCGGCGCCCGGCGGCTCCGTGCTGCTCCGTGAGCTGGCGGCCGCGCCGCAGCCGGCCAGCGCGCCGTCCACGCCGCGCGCCGCGCCGCTGCTGCACGCCATGAGCGCCGCGCACGCCTACATCGCCACGTTCATCCACATCTGCCGCACCAGCCAGGTGAGCGGCGGCGCTGGCGAGCGGTGCGCCGCGGCGGGAGGCGGCCGGGGCTGGTGGGCCGCAGGGCGGTGAGGGGGCCCCGTCGCACAGCACCCAGTCCTTGGCGGATCGGCTGGCGCGGGCATGACGGTTAGCAGGCCTTAGGCTGGCGTGTCGCCCAAACCCTGGGCTTAAGTTGCGGTGTAATGTTTTAGGTTTGAGTGGCACCATTGGGTGTATGAAATAGGAGGCTCTCTGTTGCCTGTGAGCGACAGAGGCAACAGAGACAACATTGGCATCGCTCACGGCGCGTCTCTGTCTGGTGGTCTGTTTGCGTGCGGCCGACCGCCCCTCTCCGCCTGATGGACTGGCTGTGCGCCGCCAGACGGACATCCGGCAGGTAAGCGTCAGCAGCTGGGGCTCCGAGCTGGGGCTGGCCGTCCTGCGCGACCTCTCGCGCCTCTACACGAGCATCGTCTGGGAGAGCAGCGTGCTGCTGGCGCTCTGCACGCTCAACAGCCTGCCGGAGGACGCCCAGTTCGCGCGCGACGACATGGACCGGCTCCTGGAGAACAAGGTGCGACCAGAGGTGTCAGGTGTAACCGGCCAGAGGGAGGCCAGCTTTGCGGCCTGGTGCGCCGTGGTGCGTGTTCGGTAAACAGTGCAACACGGCGTGCACTGTGGCATGTTTTATATCGTGCCGACGTGTGTTCACATGTCGACGGGAATGGGTGGGTGACAGCTGATAGGGGTCTATTCACTTGCCGTTCATAACGTCTGGTTTTCCACTATTGACAGTATAGAATTCGCTGTCGCCAAACACGGTCCTTAGATCCTCCAGCTGGGGCGCAAGCCCACCAACCTGACCGGTTGGCGATGGCTGGAGCATGAGTCATTGCCGTGTGACATCGGTACACCTGAGCGGCGGCCACAGTTGCGCCCCGCCCCGTCCGCGGCCGGCCCTGTGTTTTTATTTAATGGTCGGCCAAGGGACGCTAGTGGGCACCATGTGGGGCCAGCGCTCGCCGTCGCTCGGACACTGTGTACGGAGTGGAGCGCGGGAGACTGCCGCGTTTGCCACGGACCCCTGACCCTACCTCGTGCCGCCAGGGCGACGAGGTGGGCATGGAGGAGAGCGAGGACAGCAAGATCCCGCCGAGCCTGCAGTACCAGATGAAGGTGATCAAGCCGGTGCTGGCGTCCGCCTCCAAGCTGGGCCGCGCCATGACTGACCTGTTTGGGCTGCTTGTTAAGGTGAGTCCGCCCTCAGTCAGTTTCTCCGCTGTTCTGCGGGCGTACTGAGACAATCGACGCTCGAGCTGACTCGCGTGCAGCACGTCAAATTACTGGGGAATGGTGCACTCGAATTTCAGATTGGTTTGCTGTTTTTGGGCGTGAGGTTTCTGGGCGGTGGCAAACGATTTGACTGATCGATCTTAAAAAAGTGCATCAAGAGCAGTAATCACGAAGGCTGAGATCGCCCAACGCTCAAAACTGGCAGATGCGGAACTTGTGACGGCGGTGGTAGTGAGTCATTGTAGTGCGGAATCACAGCCGGGCGCGGGGTGATGCGAAGGCACACATGTTTTTTTACCGTTGTGCTAATTTGTACTGATATGTGTACAAAGTGCGCAATTTTCCATGCTATAATTGCTTGCTACTTGCCCACATTCAGAGCTGTATAGAGGCTTCGCTGTAAATGCACCTAAGTGAAGCGGTGATAACACGGTCCTTAGATCCTCCAGCCGGGGCGCAAGCCCACCAACTTGACCGGTTGGCGATGGCTGGAGCATGAGTCATTGCCGTGTGACATCAGTATACCTGAGCGGCGGCCGCAGTTGCGCCCCGCCCCGTCCGCGGCCGGTCCTGTGTTTTTATTGAATGGTCGGCCAAGGGACGCCAGTGGGCGCCATGTGGGGCCAACGCTCGCCGCCGCTCGGACACAAACCCAATTCGTTTGCTATAGCCTCGGAAGTCGATTTTTGCTGAATGCGTGTTTGAAATCATGGCAGCAAATCGCAATGTCACTTTCTCGCAGTTCTTTCCGTGTGGGTTTTCACGTGCGATGTTTTCGGTCAGCTGCCTGCCTGTCCCGTCCGGCACTGGCCGCCCGCCGGTGTGTACATATGCCGCCACTCGTGTCCGTCTGTTTTTGGTGTGAAACGTGATCGCCCGCCGAGGCCTTGCCCTGTCAGCTGGCGTGCTGGGCTGACGGTCCGTCTCCGCGCCGTGTGCCCGCCAGCTGTGCGTGGGCTCGCCGATTCGACAGCGGCGGGGCCAGCAGCTCAACACCATGAACCAGATGGTGTCGCCGGCGGCGCGCAAGGTGGCGCACGCCATCAACGCCATGCTGGCCGATGCCCTGGCGTTCCGGCCGCCGGGCTGCGTGCCGACGCCCAAGCTCAGGTGAGAAGGCCGTGGCCGCGGCCGCGGCCGCTGGGGGATGGGTCGAGGTGAGGGCGAGGGTGAGGTTGAGGGCGAGGGCGAGGGCGAGGGCGAGGGCGAGGGCGAGGGCGAGGGCGAGGGCGAGGGCGAGGGCGAGGGCGAGGGCGAGGGCGAGGTGAGGGCGAGGGTGAGGGTGAGGGGGAGGATAAGGATGAGTATGGGTGGATGGTTGTTTGGTTATGCTGTCGGGGATCGGTGTTATAAACTGGCAAGTTTGGTATTATCTTAAAGGATTCGAAGATATGAGCTGCTAATGTATTAAATCCAGGGACGCCATCCACGTTTGCAGCGCACTAAGTTTGCACTGTCGTTTCGTTGGGTTCAAAGGATGAGGTCCTGGAGTGATGTGATTGACGCCATTTATTGAAACGAATAATGCGAGTGACTGGGTATGACTGAGGTGTACCTGTTGTCATGTCTTGTTTTTGTGTGGTTCTTTGGGTGGAATATTGTAGGTAGAGCAATAGTTGTGGACACAATCTTCCGTGCGCTTTTAAACCACATACAACAGACACTTCACAGTGCGTAACACGGTCCTTAGATCCTCCAGCCGGGGCGCAAGCCCACCAACCTGACCGGTTGGCGATGGCTGGAGCATGAGTCATTGCCGTGTGACATCAGTATACCTGAGCGGCGGCCACAGTTGCGCCCCGCCCCGTCCGCGGCCGGCCCCGTGTTTTTATTAAATGGTCGGCCAAAGGACGCCAGTGGGCGCCATGTGGGGCCAGCGCTCGCCGCCGCTCGGACACAAACCCGGTTCTTCATGTCATACACGATGCGTTGTTTAAAATTTCTCGGGTGTGGGCAATGCTGACTTAATGGCGCCTCAGCTTCTCTGATGAGCCGGCTAGTGGCCGGCTCAGTATCCGGGCGGGGCGGCTCTCCGTCACAAAGGGGCGATCACCCCTGGCTGTCGTGGGGGGCGGCCGGCGCCTGACAGTGGTGGTGAGCATCTGGCTGGCTCGGCCAACTCGGCTCACCTTGGATCTGCCCCGACAGGCTCACCTTCTTCACGTGCGCTGTCAGCTTCACCTCCTCCATGCTGTTCGACGAGAAGAAGCTGCCCTACCACCTGATGCTGCAGCTCTTCAAGTCCACCGGTGGCCTGGACGCCTTCTTCGCGTGCGTAGCGGCAAGCCACGGGGAGGGAAAGCGTTCACCTCCGAGATCTGGCGAGACGATACAGTCCTGGAGCTGACTCTTGTCTCAGGCCGGTGGAGTGGTCCCTCCGTTCGAAATCAACACTTGATTATTTGCAGACAGTTTGGTTTGGGAGTTCTTGTTCTGACACTAATCGATCTTCAATGTGCCAGAGGTACCAGTTAAACGTCATCAATCATTAGCGATATTGACAAAGCTTAGTCATGCCATGATCACTCGTGGCCATGATCACGGTGTGAAACGTGGAGTTTTGTTGAAGTGGCGAACGCTTGCTTGATGAGGCTTAAACAGCGCCCCCTGGTGTGATTCGAGGTTTATTATTGTCAATATAAAAACAGCTCATGCTAAAAACGATGAGTGTAATGTCTGTCCTGCGTGCATTGAAGTATTTGGTGAAATACAAGAATTCAGTTATGGATGTAGTCAAGCCTCTCATGCATACTTCCAAAGGGACGCGTGGCCGCTGAACGGGTGGCGTTCTCCCGTGTTATCCAAAAGCCGGTGCGGCCGGCGCATGTGCTGGGCGCCGTGGGACGTTCTGACCTGCAGCAGACCTTGCCGGCGGGCTGTGTGACCCCCGACTGCCGCGTGGTCCCGCAGGGCGTTCCACTGGGCGCTGTCGATGGACGGCTGCGTGCCGCCCGAGCAGGGCCTGGAGCACCCGGAGCTGCCCGAGGGCACGGCCGAGTTCCTCGACTCGTGGCTGATGCTGCTCGAGCGGCTCGTCAGCCCCAAGCACCTGCTGGAGACGCCGCACACGCTGCCGAAGCTCACCACCGACGGCGCGTTCTCGGAGCCGTTCGACCCGCACCAGTTCATGGCCGGCATACACAAGGTACGCCGGGCGAAGCGCGCGCCGACGTCGGCGTTGTCGGGTGTAGCGTCGGTCATTGTCGACGTCAGTGTCAGTGTCAGTGTCGGTTCGTTACCGTGCAAGTAAACGCGCGCATGCATCATGTTTGCCTTCATTGCTGGACGGTTGTGGCTCGGTCGCGCGCCGGCTGATATGCCTCGGTCGGGCGCCGGCTGTTGTGCCTCGGTCGGGCGCCGGCTGTTGTGCCTCGGTCGGGCGCCGGCTGTTGTGCCTCGGTCGGGTGCCGGCTGTTGTGCCTCGGTCGGGCGCCGGCTGTTGTGGCTCGGTCGGGCGCCGGCTGTTGTGGCTCGGTCGGGCGCCGGCTGATATGCCTCGGTCGGGCGCCGGCTGTTGTGACTCGGTTGAGCGCCGGCTGTTGTGACTCGGTTGAGCGCCGGCTGATATGCCTCGGTCGGGCGCCGGCTGTTGTGGCCCGGTCGGGTGCCGGCTGTTGTGACTCGGTTGAGCGCCGGCTGTTGTGCCTCGGTCGGGCGCCGGCTGTTGTGGCTCGGTCGGGCGCCGGCTGTTGTGCCTCGGTCGGGCGCCGGCTGTTGTGCCTCGGTCGGGCGCCGGCTGTTGTGGCCCGGTCGGGTGCGCCGCGGCGCCGCGCCCCGTCTGACACGCTCGGCGCTCCGTTCCAGTCGGCATTCCAGGCGGTGATGCTGATCTGGAACCGGCAGCCGCTGGAGGGCTACGGCGGCCGCCTCTCGATCTCGATCTTGACCATTCTGCGGCACGTGCTGCGCGGGGAGGTGATCCTGAAGAAGCGGCGCGCCGCCGAGACGGCCGCCGCGGCCCTGGCCGCCGCGCCGGCCGCCGGCGCCACCGCCTCCGGCTCCGCCGCCGCCGCCGCTGCCGCAGCGGCTGCCGGCTCCGGCTCGGCCCAGGCGGCGCCGGCTTCCGCCGCCGCCCCAGAGCCGGCGCCGCCCGGCGAGGCCGTCGTGATGGTGAACACGGACCAGCTGCAGCAGCTGCTGGACATGGGCTTTCCGCGCCAAGCGTGCGTGGAGGCGCTGCAGGTGGCCAACAACAGCGTAGAGCAGGCCACCGACTACCTGCTGGCGCACCCACCCTCGCTACCTGAGCTCTCCGGGGTGAGTGGCGCCTGCTGCCGGCTCACACACGTGCGCCAGTTCGACGCTGACGGAGACCGTTGTGCACGCGGGCATTGCGGGCGGCATAACTGTCTGTGAGGGCTGTTTCACAGCACCCCAGCTATTTTCGGGTGTTTCTACTGGAATACGGAAGCACGTAGCAGTGCGCAGTTTATGAAGATGAGCTACTCATATTACATGGAATGGCCACAACAGGGCACGCACTTCATGGAGTGTCCGCACATATTCGCCGCCTTCGTTGTGCAATAGCGGGCAGCGGGGGTTTAAGTTTGGCGTTGCAGTGTGGCGCCGATGTCTCGATGCGCCGGCATGCGGCCCGCGCGGGCGTGCTGACGGCGCCACGCTCTGCGGCAGGTCATGTCCGAGTGGTCGGACGACGGCCAGGTGGCGCGCGTGATCGCCATGTCGCTGGGCGCCGACCGCGAGGGCGGCGAGCGGATGGACACGAGCGAGCAGCGGCCGCCGCCTGCCGACAGCCAGGTCAGTGGGGCCCCGCCTCGCCCCGCCCCGCCCCGCTCCGACTGGGCCGGGCCACGCACAGCGGCGCGGGGCCGCGGTCCACCGAAGCGGCCGGCATCCGGCTTCCAAGGCTTGTTTTTGCCACTGTATTAGAGGGAGAAATTCAGGCTAGATGATCTGGAGAGTTAAATCGAAGTTCAGGTGGAGCAAAACGTGGCGCAATTAATTCACCGTCAGTAAAATGCATCCATTCTCCCAGGGCGTATGATTGCAAGGTCACTATGCATTACCAACTAATTACGTTTGCATTAAGAATTCGTCATTTATGAGCAGTGAACACAACAGGCAATAAAGAGATGAATGACAAATTGCTTCCGCTTTGTTTCAATATCCATCCAGCTCCACATCTCTGAGGGGATTGGTCTGACCTGGCTGGGTGTGGTGGCAGCGGCGGGCGAGCGAGAACCACCGAGATCGGTGTAGGAGTGGGGATGGTATGCGCCACCACCCCATCTGTGATAGGTACATACATCTCCCCCAGGAGATACGCGCACACCCCGTCCCCATACAGGTGTGCACGATTGTGATGTCAGAACACATGCATCGGAAGCGATTCTCATACACGAATGTCAGAAGTGCGACATGCAGAGTTCATTTCAAGCTCCACACATTGCCAGCAGAAGTTTCGGATAAACCAGCTGCGTATTTTCCCGTGAAAATCGGTCCAGAACGTAAGCGTTTCGACATTCGTTCACCGAGGGATGGGGTCAAGGCGCGGACGTCGCCCTGAGATCGAGCCCTGAGCCCTGACGTCGCCGGCCGGTCTGGGTGGCCGCGCGTTGCATGGCGCGCCGTTTGCGCGCGGAGGGCCGTGCGCAGCGGTGCGCGGACAGATCGGTGCGCGGGGTCCAGGTGTGTGGTGTGCGCGGGGTCCAGGTGTGCGGTGTGCGCGGGGTCCAGGTGTGTGGTGTGCGCGGGGTCCAGGTGTGTGGTGTGCGCGGGGTCCAGGTGTGTGGGTGGTGCGCGGGGTCCAGGTGTGTGGTGTGCGCGGGGTCCAGGTGTGTGGTGTGCGCGGGGTCCAGGCGTGTGGTGTGCGCGGGGTCCAGGTGTTGGTGGTGCTTGCGGGGTCCAGTTGCGGGGTCCAGGTGTGTGGTGTGCGCGGGGTCCAGGTGTGTGGTGTGCGCGGGACATGACGCTGTGTCGGCCCGTGCGTCCCCAGCCCAGCGAAGAGCCGCTCTCGGCCGGCCGCCTGGACGCCTTTACCAGCACCGTGCTGGACGGCTGCCTCAAGCTGCTCGACTCGCTGAGCGACACCGTCTACCGCACTTGCGACCTCATCACGACCTGCATCCAGCGCAACGGGTCCGAGTGGCGCGACCAGACGCTGCGCCACCTCGCCTCGCAGGTGGGCACCGACCTCACGGCATCAGTCAGCGGCGCGGCTGGCCAAGGGGTTCTTACTGCTCGCCGCCGGTCGGACAGCGGAGACGCGGTTGTGCGCATGTCTCCCTACGTACCACTCATGCAAGGGAGCAGTGCGAGCGCCATGAATCCCTACTGTTCCGTTGTGAAACAGCCAGTCGTGAACTATCAACAACGCTGGTCTGTGCTGGAGGAGGGTGGCTGCTTCACCGGAGTCCCCCGTTTCTTGCCAGGTGTGCTACCACCTGGAGGAGCTGCTGCGCATCTCTGAGATGGCGGTGCCGGCCGACGAGCGGCTCGTGCAGCTCACCACCTTCCCCAGCGCCAACAAGGCGGCCGTGCGCATCCATCTGTTCTCGCTGCTATTCGAGGTGAGGCGGGCGGGCCGGCGAACGCCGGCGCTCTCCAACTGACGGCTGACAGGCCGGCCACCGTGGGGGTGGACGGCTGGCGGGAGTCTCTCTAACGGACGGCTGACAGGCCGGCCACCGCGGGGGTGGGCGGCTGGCGGGAGTCTCTCTAACTGACGGCTGACAGGCCGGCCACCGCGGGGGTGGGCGGCTGGCGGGAGTCTCTAACTGACGGCTGACAGGCCGACCACCACCGGGATGGATGGTTGGCGTGAGTCCCTCTAACCGATGTCTGACAGGCCGGCTGCCACGGGGGCAGACAGCTGGCGGGAGGCTGATATATGAATGCGTCGCTGTGAAGTGGGGTCGTTTGGGTTGTGGCTTCTTGTATGTCAGGCGTACCGTGGTAATCATTCTAAGCGCTTGTATTTGGGAGCCCTCGCGAAAGGCACAGAGTGCTTACGGAACACCACGTTGGCAGATGGCATGTTGTCCCGATGGCTATGCGATAAAGAAGGAGGTGCATGACGAGAATCGATGTCCGGCCGTCTGGTCGCGTGTTTTTGTAGGGAGTGGAGACAGCCAAACATGGTCCGATCTGACCCAGGCAAATCACACCTTAACCGGTGTTTGACACCGCCTGCCGAGCAGTTTTGCCCCGACCGCTTGCCTGCCAGGGGGCCAACGTCGGCTTGCCCGCCGCTTCCCCACAGCGGGAGATGCACATACCATGTACGGCTCTAACCCTTCCCTCTCCCCCGACAGGAGATGCACATGCCGTGCGCGCTGGTGGCCACCTCCACGCCGCTGATCCCGCTGTGCATCCAGCTGCTGTGCCGGACAGAGCTGCTGCTGGCCAGCTGTCCGCAGCAGGCCGACCTCACCTCGCCGCGCTGGCTGGCGCCGCTCGTCGTCTTCATCGACCTCTGCGAGAAGATCGCCGTGGCGTCGCAGCGGCGCAGCGCGGTGGCCCAGGTGAGGCGTGGGTGGTCCGGCCGGCCGGCCGACTGTGCCGCCTGCCGGCGGGGCGGCCGTAGGGTGTGGTGGTCGTGACCTGACGCCGCTCTCGTGGGGTGTAGTGGTAGTGACAACGCCGCGACCGTGGTGCCGCAGCGGCGGTGACTCGACGCTGCAGCCGTGGGGTGTTGGTTGACGGTGACTCCTGACGCTGCAGACGTGGGGTGTGGTGACGGTTGACCCTGACGCTGCAGCGTGGGGTGTGGTGACTGGTGACCTGACGCTGCAGCCGTGGGGTGTGGTGACGGTGACCTGACGCCGCAGCCGTGGGGTTGTGGTGACGGTGAACCTGACGCTGCAGCCGTGGGGTGTGGTGACGGTGACCTGACGCCGCAGCGTGGGGTGTGGTGATGGTGACCTGACGCTGCAGCCGTGGGGGTGTGGTGACGTGTGACCTGACGCTGCAGCGTGGGGGTGTGGTTGATGGTGACCCTGACGCTGCAGCCGTGGGGTTGTGGTGACGGTGACCTGACGATGCAGCCGTGGGGTGTGGTGACGGTGACCTGACGCCGCAGCCGTGGGGTGTGGTGACGGTGACCTGACGCTGCAGCCGTGGGGTGTGGTGACGGTGACCTGACGCTGCAGCCGTGGGGTGTGGTGATGGTGACCTGACGCTGCAGCCGTGGGGTGTGGTGATGGTGACCTGACGCCGCAGCCGTGGGGTGTGGTGACGGTGACCTGACGCCGCAGCCGTGGGGTGTGGGTGATGGTGACCTGACGCCGCAGCCGTGGGGTGTGGTGATGGTGAACCTGACGCTGCAGCCAGTGGGGTGTGTGATGGTGACCTGACGCTGCAGCCGGGGGGTGTGGTGATGGTGACCTGACGCTGCAGCCGTGGGGTGTGGTGATGGTGACCTGACGCTGCAGCCGTGCTGGGGTGTGGTGATGGTGACCCTGACGCTTGCAGCCGTGGGGTGTGGTGACGGTGACCTGACGCCGCAGCCGTGGGGTGTGGTGACGGTGACCTGACGCTGCAGCCGTGGGGTGTGGTGATGGTGACCTGACGCCGCAGCCGTGGGGTGTGGTGACGGTGACCTGACCCCGCGGCCGTGGGACGTGATGATGGTGACCTGACGCCGCGGCCGTGGGACGTGATGAGGTGACCTGACCCGCGGCCCGTGGGACGTGATGATGGGACCCTTGACGCGCGGCCGTGTCCGCCAGATCACCGGTCACCAGTGGCGCTGGTTCGATCTGAGCTCGGGCAAATGGTGTGGCTACCCGGCCGCCAACAACAAGTGCATTGACGACGCCTACTGGGCAGGCGAGAGCCAGGTGCAGGTCATCACGGGTCGCCGCAAGTACAACATCATCTTCAACACCATGGTGCAGGTGCGTGCTGGTAATTTTCCGGTGCGACGACGGCGTGAAGCGTGCGTCGAAATATTCAGCTGCGTGCTACAAGTAATCAGAATACATGAACTCAATGCGTTTACTTAGTGCGACGTCCCCATTATTCGCCCGACATCCGTCCGTTTAACAACGTTTGCTCTTGCAATGAGCCATCGGCTTGGCCGGTCTGCGCCGGCCGGTGCCGTGTGACAGTGGGTCGCGTCACTGGCCGGCAGGTGAACGAGGAGACGAGTAACCGTCGGCCGGTGATGATCTGCCTGGCGGACCGTCCGACGGCCGACTCGGGCGCCGCGCCGGCCGTCGCCAGCGCCAGCGCCGCCGACGGCGACCGCAGCCCGCCGCCGGTCGCCGCCGCCGCCGCCGCCACCACCGTCGCCGCGCCAGCCACCATCGAGTGCCTGTCAGACGGACAGTGCGCCGAGATCCTGGCGGCATGCGTCGGCCTGCTGGCGGCCGGCGTCGACGCCGACACGCTGCAGGCTGTGCTGCGCCTGTGTCTGCGCCTGACGCGCCAGCACGCGCTGGCCGTGCGCTTCGCCGAGCTGGGCGGCGTGCGTCACCTGCTGGCGCTGCGCCAGGCGTCGACGTTCGCCGGCCTCAACACGCTGGCCACGTTCCTGGTGCGCCACACCATGGAGGACCCGGCCACGCTCCGGCACACCATGGAGAAGGTGGGTCTTCACCCGCCGGCGTGCGTCTGTCACAGGTGATCACGAACAAGTGTCAGTTGCCTGGAGTGTGCCTCGCTGCTGTAGCTGGTGTTCGTGAGGTCGGATCGGCAGGCCGCACCTAGAGGTGGATAGGTGCTGTTGGTGCGCGGTGGGTGCTGGTAGGAGGTGTGCGCGCCGGCTTTTGACGTGTCGTTCCCCTCCAGATCGTGCGTACGGCCACCATGGCCAGCAACACCAACTACCGCGAGTTCCACTACATGATGCGCTCGCTGGCGCCGGCCGCCTGCCGTTCGCCAGACGACTTCGTTGAGGTGGCCAAACAGACGCTGCGCGTGGACCTGAGCGTGGCTAGCCGCAGAGGTGAGAGACGGGCCGCGCAGTTTGGGGATGCCAGGCTCAAACCGATGGCGAACTAGTGGAGTCGACGGTTAGAACGATCGCAAATGCTGGCGGCTGTTCGGGTAACCTACCGTGCTGTGGTATTGCGACGTTGAAGACTGGCTCAGAACTTGGTATTGTATGAACGAGGAACATCTCGGTTCCGACACTCCGACTTTAAATGATAGGACGCTTCTTTGCAACGCAATTGGCAATGCACCTCTATGCTCCTGGATAAGTGGCAACATGCGTGTGCTAGAGCTGAGCAATGCGACCACGCAGTATTTTCCTGCGCAATTTTCACGAAAAGACGAGCTACGGTTACATGTGAGTTAAATTTGACTTGCTTAATATAATTTATGCCAATTTATAGCTGTTGTTTTTTATTAGTAATTGATATTTTTGTTTTATGGGTTGAACCTTTTTAAATGTCAGTTCAGACATGAGTTCTGATTGATTTCTTATTGTTGGAAGCATCAAATGGACTTTCTATTCCTGCCAATATCAATAGCTTGGTGGAAATGCCTGCAGGGGTGTCTTTTTGGAAAACCGAAAAGACTAGACACACTTCGTTTAAATGGACAGTCTTCCCGTATTTGATACAGTGGTTTCCGCTCAAGAAACACCATCCCATCCGTCCGTACCCCAATTCCAACCGGCCTGACCGCCGTCTGCCCCAGCAGCCGGCGAGGAGGACCCGCGGCTCATCACGAAGGCGCTGCCGGCGCGCGCCAGCCCGCCTCTAGCGGCAGCCTCCAGCTGCGCCCAGGCGGTGGTGGAGACGCTGCTGGACGCGTTGGTGGTGCCGTCGCGCACCACGCCCGAGCCGAGCCCCGAGGAGGCGGCGGCGGCCGAGCCGGCCGGCCCCAGTCAGCCGCAGCCGCAGGTCAGTGGCCGCTCGCACGCCGCGGACTGGTGTGAGGGGAGCCGCGACTGGGGCGGGCTCACCAGGGCAGTGCAGCCCGCTCGTGGTGCGTGCGTGCGTGCGTGTGTGCGTGCGTGTGCGTGTGTGTGCGTGTGCGTGTGCGTGTGCGTGCGTGCGTGCGTGCGTGACAAAGATTGTCGCAGTATCATGACGCAGTGCTGCGTTTGTTTGACATCCGCGAGTATGGAATACGCATGTCAGGATCTTACAAGTGGGCACCGTTTGCTGAGTCGTGGCGTTTGCTATGCGTGTGGCACGCGTCCTTTGGCACACAGCCTTTCCTGGCCCGTCGCTCGTGCCATCGGTCGGCGCCGCGCCGCCTGACGCCGCTCGTGTCCCTGCAGACGGACTCTGGCAAGGCGGCCGGCAAGGACGGCAAGACGGCGGCGCAGAACCGGGCGGAGGAGGCCGAGCGGCGTCGGCGGCCGCTGCTGGCCAAGTCATCCGTCTGCCGCCTGCTGGCCGAGCTGGTGCGCTCCTACACGGGCGTGGCCAAGGTGATGACCGAGCACACGTTCTCGCCCGGGCCCGACTCCGACGTCAAGGAGGTGAGACGCGCTCCAACACGTGCCCTGTGGTCGCGCTCGCGTGCTCAGCGTGTGGAGCGGGGCCCTATGTGCCCGGTGGATGCTGCGCATCGTGACGCCTGTCGCGTGTCGGCGCGGGAGAGAGGACGACGAACGTTGTCGCAGGTGCCGACTCGTAAACGCTGTCATACCTGGGCCAAGCAGAGGCCACCCAAGCCGGAGCTGCGTCTGCGCGTGGACCCACGCCTGTCTCGTGGCCAGCTCTGTTCGGTGTGGACGGTGTGCGTGCTCGCGCCCGTGGCGTGTTGCTTGAGCGTGTCGGCGCCCCGGCCCGCAGGACTGTCCGGCGCTGGCCTACATCCTGGACCACCTGGTGTCGGCCGAGCAGACCGGCGGCGACAAGGAATGCGCCAGCTGCTGCCGCCTGCTGGTGGCCGCGCTGGCCGCCTGCAACCACTCGCCTGACGCTCAGGCAGCGCTCGTCTCAGAGGTGCGCACAGACGGCTGCTCGGCGCCGCTCACCGGCAGCGGCCGGAGCTGACACGGGCGCCACTGCCTGGCACTGTTCGACCGTACAGACTGCAACATGTGACAATATCGGGTGATGAAGGCTTTGCCGAAACGGTGGTGCGATGGGTCTGCATCTTTCGTGCTTGTTCTATAATGCATATATATATATATATATATATATATATATATATAATATATATATATATGCATATGCATAATGCATAATATATATAGTGCATTATGAATAATACGTGGCATGTATTCCGCGGCTTGCTGGCGTGATTGTCGGTTTTTTTTTTTTTTGTCGCCCTGACTCAATTCTGCGGAAGATCCGGTCAGGACTAAGTTCGTACTGGAAAAGCGTGTTCCATTAGAGCTGTGAATGGTGATGATAGTGCGGTTGTGCTGTGGGTGTGCTTCGAGTGTTGGTGAGTGTCGGTCGTGCCTGACCTGACCCCGACTGACTGCCGTGACCTGTATGGGTGGCAGGCGCTGTTGCGCGTGCTCTCCCTGACCTGACCCCGACTGAGTGCCATGATATGTTTGAGTGACAGGTGCGGCAGGCGCTGCTGCGCGTGCTGTCCCTGACCTGACCCCGACTGACTGCCGTGATCTGTGTGGGCGACAGGTGCGGCAGGCGCTGCTGCGCGTGCTCTCTTCGCCCGAGGCCGGCGACAAGCACGGCCGTATCCAGGCGCTGACCGGCCTCATTCACACCATGATAGAGAGCTGCCCCAGCTCCGGACCGCAGCCGCTGCCGGCGCCCGTCCGCGCCGGCGGTGTCGGGTCAGTCGGCCGGTCTCGCCGGGGGGGGGGGGGGGGGGGGGGTCTCGTGCCGTCGCAGAGGCACCGGGTGCGCATGGGTTGGGCGTCGCCAGGGGACAGTGAGCGGGGGGTTTGTGTTGTCGGTCACGCGTCTGAATGCGCGTGCTGTCCGGCCGGGTGGATCTTTGCCGTGCGTTTGCCGAGGTGGGCTGCCGCGGGCGCGGTTGAACCGTCGTCGGCCGCCGCCCCGGCGTCTGGTCATGGTTTAGGTGCCGCGTCCCAACATCGTGCCGACGTCACCGGCTGTCGGTGCCGGCCGTGCGTGACGTCATCTTCGCGTCGCCAGCATGAACAACATGGTGAAGATGATGGTGCGGCGCGGCCTGCCGACGGATCTGGCGCGGATCTCGCACTCGCTCGATCTGTCGTCGCCGCACCTGGCCATGACCATCAACGCCGTGCTGAAGCCGTTGGAGGTGCTGACCCGCATGGTGAACTCGCCGTCGGCGGCGCCTGCCCAGCGCCGCCACAAGACGACCTCCACCAGCCATGAGGCGACCCAGCCAATCACCGAGCGTGAGTGGTCCGCGCGATGTGTGCACACAGCTGCGGCGAACCCATCACGCAAGGAAATGGGGCGGCTGCGGCCGCCGTCACCGGGTTTGTGCACAGATTATGCGGGCTCTAAGGGTGATTTCCTTCCGTTGTCTTGGAAGCGGCACAGTAAACAGTCATTGCAACGGTACATCTCTTACCTGCAGCTGCTCAGTTTTCTTCTTTTTTTCTCACTCACCCTCTCGATCGATCCGGGGCTTGATAGCCGCTTCTCGCTGGTTTGTACACCGTGCGCCGACTCTTCAGCGTGCCGTGGTAACTGGTGCTGACGTGTGCGGCTGCGGCCGCCCGTTCAGCGCCTGAACTCTGACCGCTCGCCGCCGACACAGCCACGTCCAACTCGGAGGCGACGCGCGCCCAGGGCGAGTCGATGCTGGAGGACCCGGAGAACACGGAGCACGACGTGTCGGTGACAGAGGCCACCTCCGAGGCGCACCCGGCCGACGGCGCCGACGATAACGACGAGGTCGTCCTCGAGGAGATCATGGACCACTTGCTGGAGAGGTGAGCGCGCCGCCGCCGATGCGACGTGCGGGGGTGCGCGGCGAGCATGACTGATGAGCGGAGACATGGCGCGGACAGCTGTAGAGGAAACCTGCCATCAGTTGGTAAGACGCAGTTGACTGTCGGCCGTGCGGTCTCCTGTGCGACAACCAGCACGGGGTGGTCGGCGCTCCAGCTCCTACTTTACACATGCCCAACGGGCTGGGCTGTGCGTGAAGTGTTGTTTATTGCGATTGGCGGTAGCGACGCGCACAACGCGCGGCTGCCTCTCCTCAGCCGCTGACCCCACCCGTGCTGTCTCACTCCAGTCCGGACGTGCCCATGCAGATCGTCTTCCGCGCCCGACCTGACCCGGTCCCGCCCGGGCCTCCTGAAGACGGGGCCGGCGCCCCCGCTGGCCCTGACAGACCCGCACCGTAAGGCCTGCCGCTCACCCGATCCTGTTTTGTGTCCTGCCCTGCGTTGTGTCCAATTCCGTTTTGCGTCCTGATGCGTTTGAAAGCGAATCGTCGATCAGACGTCGCCTGTCCGAGCCCGTCGGCGACCGCGCAGCCTGGGGTGCTGGCTGTGCGAAGCGTGCGCCCGGCATGTGACCGACGCGGCGCCTAACACAGCGGATCACGGACAGGAACACCGACCACCCGGGCGAGACGATCCTGGCTGAGGCGCTGATACTGGACGGCGGCGGCACCAGCGGCGGCGGCGCCCGCATGGAGACGGAGGAGGCGGCGCGCGACCAGGCGGCGGCCGACGCCGAGACGCGCGACAGCGAGGCCGAGGAGGACGCCGACGGCGCCGAGGAGGAGGCTGAAGAGGAGGAGGAGCCTGAGCAGGACGACGAGGAGGAGGAGGAGGAAGAGGATGACGACGGTGCGTGGTGGGATTACGGAAGCTGTTGCTGCTGTGATTGGAGGACTGGCTGTTTTTTTCTCGCTTAAGTTGCTAAATAATCGCCGGTTATTTCTCTCGCTGAAGTGTTGTGTTTTTGTTGCAGAAGAAGATGAGGAAGATGACGACGAAGAGGGCTCCAATTATGACGAGGATGGCGAGGACGCCGATTTTGAAGAGATGATGTGTCTGATCCAGGGCGGCAGCAGTGGTGAGTTCCTGGAAGCCATGTCCGGTGAGCTGATGACGCACCTGTCTGACGGGGCTCGTCAGCCCGGTGCGCTTCTTCACGCCAGTTTCACCAAACAGCAACGTTGCTTGTCATACGTCATGAGTCTTATCCTTGAGCTCCGGTCAGTATACCGGGCGGGCGGTTTCCGTTTCCCTCTGGCTGCCGTGTCCGGGGACCGCCCACTGTTCTCCACCTTTCCCGCCCGTCGCGTGTGACGCCTCTGCCACGTGCCGCCGGCGCTGTGCCCGGCCCTGGCGCCGTGTGAATGCGACGCAGCACCGACTTCAGGCGCGTGACGCGGCTCCCGGGGCGCCGGCAGGCCGCGTCATGGACCTGGACGACGTGTGGATGGTGCAGCCGGAGCCGGCCGGCTCGTCTTCGGTGCTGTTCAGCCACGAGCATCAGTCGGCGGCGCGCTTCATCCCCATGGCGCCGGTGGCGGGGCTGGGTGCCGCCGAGGACGCGGCCGCCACCGACACAGGTACGGCCGCGCGGCGACGAGGCGACTCGTGTCGCGGTGTGGCAGCGTGCGTGTCGAATGCCTGAGGACCGACTGAGAATGGCAGATTGATGATGACAATGGAATTGGCGGGCATTGGGATACAGTGTCGGGCTCAGGCTAAAGTAATACTGGTGTTCCACCGGGAATTGTTGGGCCATTGGCGTGCCGGCTGTCTGAGCCGCTCCGCTGTCGCCCGCCATCGGCCGTCTGGACGCTGCCGTGACGTGACCCCGTGTCAGCCGGCCCGCTCGCTCGCCTGGCCCCCTGTACGCGTGCTGACCCCAGCGTGCGGCGCCGCAGTGCCGGCGGCCCCCTCCGGCTCGGGCCAGGTGCTGCCCGTGCACCCGCTGCTGACGGTGCGCAACAGCAGCGAGGCCATGCCGCTGCAGCGGTCTCGGCGCGCTGGCCACCAGCGCGGCGGATACCGCTACATCCACGTCAACACGCGTCACAACTCGCCGGCCATTCTGCAGCGGTTAGTGGTGCTGCTGGTGCGACGCGACGGGGGAGGGCCACGGCGCGTTGGGCATGTGGGGTGAACATGTGATTGCCTGGCTGCTGCTATGTTTCCGGCGAGACTTGCTGTGTGGTATGTACGTTACAGACTCAGCCACCGCACGCGTGGTTGTATTTATTCCGTCGTTGGCTGTTAAGTCGGTGCATAAATAGTGAACAGAGAAAGAAAGTGGCATGGGGCCAATATGCAGCTGTATTAATATTAGGACATTCAACAGCAAGGCCAGCATAAAAAATGGGGTTCGGAGAAACAGTGGAGCAGCGTGGGTGCGTTGTGCCGGTATGTGACTCAGCACGACTGAGAGTCGTCCTGAGCGGGTGTGCGGGATATAGAAATTCTTGATGTGACCAAAAGATAATCTGCCAGGGTTGTACAATCGCAACATTAGCTGAACGGGCTTTGCATTGGGGCGGTCAACCTAGAGCTCCCCGAAATGTGGCTTTCTCCCGGATATTCTTGTATTGCTGCGAGATTTCCTGAGCTGGTGTATGGAAACCCGAGACAGCCAAGCGGCAACCTCGGGGCTCGATCCCCTCCAACGGAGCGTGATCGCACACTCCTGTAGCGTGCGATGACACGCCACCCGAGCGTGCCGTGCCGTACCGTTGCTGTGTGAGACGCGACCACAACACACGGCGGGATGGTTGTTTGCTGTGGTCGGCCAGACTGCTGGGGCCGCACGCGCTGCAGCTGACGGTGAACCACAGCCTGTCAGGCTCCCTGCGCGAGTCGCCGCTGCTGCTGGGAGACCCGACCGAGTTCCGAGTCATCACGCACCGGCCCGACGAGGACTGGCTTGATCTCACGGTACGTCTGCGGCGCCGGCTTCGTGTTGCGGTACAATCTCGGTCGGAAATCACGTCACTGTATGAGGCAAGCGACGATGCTTCTTTGGGGGGGGGGGGGGGGGGGTCAGGCGCCCAACGTGTTTGCTTTGCGTTTATTCTCGCCGTTCGCCTTGAATTGGGCGGTTTTATCAGGAACGCTGCAGATGTTATAATGATCAGTCGTGGCTGTCGTGCCGATACGCTGTGTACGCCGTCTGGTGGACGGCAGTGAGTACAGGTGGCCGCGGACTCCAGCCCAGTGGCTGGCCGCGCCGTCGGTGCGTGAGTGTCCGCTGCTGGCCGCTGACTCGCGCCGAGCCCGGTCGGCTGGCCTCGCTCGTCCGTGGTGTCAGGATGCTGGCGCTCGCCGTCCGTGCGTGAGTGTCAGGCTGCTGGCCGCTGACTCGCGCCCGAGCCCGGTGGCTGGCCTCGCCGTCGTGCGTGGGTGTCAGGCGGCTGGCCGCTGACTCGCGCCCGAGCCCGGTCGGCTGGCCTCGCCGTCCGTGCGTGAGTGTCAGGCTGCTGGCCGCTGACTCGCGCCCGAGCCCGGTCGGTCCGTGACGCCATGTCCGCGGCGGCAGAACTCACTGGGCGGCCTGGTGGCCGGCACGCCGGCGGCCGGCGGCCTCTCCTCCATCCCGTCGGCGCTGTCGCGCTGGACGGAGGAGTCACGCGTCCTGGACACGGTCGGCCTGTACGACTGCGTGACCGCCTGCAAGCCGGAGGTGCTGGCGCTGCTGGAGGCCAGCCGCGAGCAGGAGCTGGCCGAGCGGCGTCAGCAGGAGGAGGAGCGCAGGAGGCAGGAGGAGCTGGCCGAGCCAGGTAGGGCGCGCGCTGCGCGGCCGATGACTCCGAGCCGACTTGGGGTGGTCACCGGGCTGACGCGCCGCCAAGACGGCGCCGCGTCAACTCGTGCCGCATTGACGGGTTGATGTTGACTTTGCGGCATGTCACACGTGAGGGTGTTACTGTGGTACGGCTTGGCCGTGTCCGGAGATACCCCTGTCCTCTGTGATGTCCTCTGCGATGTCGTCTGCGATGTCACCTGCGTGGTGCTGACGCGTCGGTCGGTCCGCAGCACCGGCGCCGCCGACGTCCGAGGCGGCGCCAGTCGCCTCCCAGAGCTCACCGAGCGTGTCGGCGGCCGTCACGCAGCCAGCGGCGACGACGCCCGCCTCCAGCACGCCGGCCACATCGACAGCCGGCTCGGGCCTGCGTGTCTCCGTGCCGGCCAACCTCAGCTCCGTGTCGCGCTACGTTGAGTCGATCCTCTCGCCAGCGATGCTCGCCTTCACGTCATCGGCTTCGTCGCAGACGACGTCGGCGTCGGTGCTGGACACGCTGTCGCGGCTGCAGAACACGGTCGGTCAGCTGCCCGCCTCCTCGTCGCCCGAGGTCATCATGGACACGCTGCTGTCGCAGTTCGGCGCCACCGGAATCCGCGCGGGCGCCGCCGGTCTGCCGCCGCCGCCGCCCCTGCCGCCGCCGGATCCCGAGGCGCCAACGCCGCCGCCGCCGCCGGCGGCAGGGCAGGCCGCGTCCGTCGTCTCCATGGAGACCCAGAGCGGTGAGGCGGCGCCCGAGCCGGCCGGACCGGCGGCCGAGGCCGGCGAGCTGGCCACGCCGCCGCCCGATCCAGCCCCGGCCGTCGCCGCAGCCGCCTGCGACCCCCGCAGCGGCCGCGGCGGCCGCGGACCCGGCAGCCCCAGCGCCGGCCGCGGCCGACGGCGAGCCACCGCCGCCGGGGGAGTCCACCCCGGCGGCGAGCGGCGAGACCGAAGTCGCGCGGCCGGCCGCAGGAGGACTTCTCGTCGATCCTGGGCGACATGGAGATCCCGGAGGGCGTGGACCCGTCGTTCCTGGCGGCGCTGCCCGATGAGATGCGCCAGGAGGTGGTGGCCGAGCAGCTGCGCTTGCAGCGCATTCGGCAGCGGTTCCGGCAGGCCCAGACCTCGCAGCAGCAGCCCACCATGGAGGTGAGCCTGGGCTGGCTGCGTCTGTCGGGCCGGCAGGCCCCTGTGCACTCCGCTCCGCTCGGGCCTCGCTCCTCTACCTTCCGCCCAATGCGCCGTGTGCTTTGTATCCGATAGTCGTGACGTGTTGCTTGCAGACGCTTCTAACAGTCCTGCCATTCTAAGCTTTCGGTATTGGCCTGTTGCCACGTTTTGTTCGGTTTTGCTGTCTGATCCTGGAATTGTCAGAGTTGCATGACTGTAGTGTCTAGATATGGTATCTGAAGCTGTGTGCTGCCTAATGGAAACTTTGGGAGGTAGCTTGCACACCCGATGAGACACAAATCCTTACGAGACATGGGCGCACGACCTGTCATCGCCCTACCAACAGGAGTGGTCTTATCACACGGTGCCGAACCGCGCTGCGCCTTTGTCAGAACGTTGCCGGCCTGTGCTCAGTCCTGGTGCGGGCAAAGGTATTGAGGTATTAAGGTATTAGGGTACTGACGGACATGTGGCGTCGACACGTGTCCGTAATCGGAACGCCGTCCGCGCCGCCAGGTGAGCCCCGAGTTCCTGGAGGCGCTGCCGCCGGCCATTCAGGAGGAGGTGCTGGCGCAGCAGCGGATGGAGCAGCACCGCGTGGCCGTGGCCAGCGCGCTGCCCGAGGACCCCGTCGACCCGGGCGACTTCCTGCAGACGCTGCCGCCGCCGCTGCGGCAGACGGTGAGCGGGCGAGCCGGCGGCGCAGTCTGGTCCCGGGCCACGGCAGCCGGCAGGCGGGCCGGCGCGCTGGCGGCCGCACCGGCTGTCAGGCGCGCGCGTCGATGGTGTGGAATGGGCCGGGTCCATACTGCCATCAACATACGCTTTGTGGTTTGCGCCCTCTGTTTTGTGGCGCGTGGTGACCGCGGCTGACGAGCCTTCCACCTGTGTCTCGTGCCGTCTACTTTGCATTCGTCCGCACGTGCGACTGGGCACACGTCGCCGCGTAGGCCGTATGTAGTCGACTCCTGGTATCTGTATGTCAAAGTATTTATGCCTTGCGAGGTAAACGTATTAGACTCGATTAAGGCATTTTCGCTATATGCGTTTGCGTGTGCCGGCGGCCGCAGATTCTGGCAGACCTGGAGGACAGCCAGCTGGGAGTGCTGCCGCCCAGCATGGCGGAGGAGGCGCAGACGCTGCGCAGAGAGTGGGAGGCCCGCAACAGACAGAACCCCTACGAGCCTATCGACTACTCTGTGCGAAGTGAGTGGCGCTGCTGCGCTGACACTGGGTGATCCGGCGGGCTGGGGGCACACCGGCTGGCTCGACTGCCAGTAAGAGTTGTACCGCATTCACTTCAACTTGAAATGATGCTGCGCGTTGAGGGAAAACATGACTCGGAATGTTTATCTTGGTATGATTTTGCTCGCTTTGCTTTACTGGCCTGCAAATTTGTCACTGGGATTGTGAAACGTTTTTGCGGCTGTATCGTCCGGTGTTTAGAGTGGGGGCGCGGCCTGTGTTCGTATTTCGTGGTAACTGATGCTACCTGTCTCAAGTTGCCACTACTTTTGACCGTGTAGACCATTCTCAAAATGTATGATGAATGCGGTGCGTGACGCTGGCGAGCTCAGCACCGTTCCATTCGCTCGGGAGCTGTTAGCGCCGGCCGGTCGGTGGAGTGACGCCCACGGCGGCGCCCGTGGCCCCTGCGCCGCCCTCTCACGCCCCGCTCTCGCCGGCAGCGCGTCTGAACCAGCGCTACGCCTTCCACCTGTCGTCGAGCATGCCGTTGCCGCGGCCGTCCGGCTGGCGGTCGTTCGCGTCGGGCGCCGGAGCTGGGTCCGGTGGCGGTAGCGGCGGTGGCGGTTCCTCCTCCGCCCACCTCATGCGGTCAGTAACGCTCTGTGCCACCTCCGTCTCCGGCGGCAGCCGGCCGCGTGACAAACGGAGCCGGCCGTAACTGTGTGCAGTGAAGGACTCGACTTGTAGCAGCTCGACAAGGAAGATATGGGAAGCTTAAATTAGATTCTGGGCGGTGACGGAACATCCGATCAAGCACCTGAGCAATGCAAGTTAATAGCTTCTTGAACGATCAGTCATTTTCGCGTCGTGCTAGCCCCAGCGATGATGCGGGCGTGGATTTAGAGGTCGATTTAGAGGTAGTAGATATAGAGGACCGCACGTATAGGCCCAGATTTCAGCTGCTGGCATGGGTTGGGTTTTATCTATTGCTGGCTGTCATACGTGGCTCTTCAGTTTGGACTTGCCCTCATTTGCTTTCTGCAGGGTGCACCAGTAAGATGTCATTCATCCACCCGGAGTCATGATGACGTGACATACTGCCGAATCCGTCCGTAGATTTACGATCGTTCTGTCCGTCCGTGCTTCAGGCTGCGCGGCCGCCAGCTGCTGGACCAGGAGTCCATTACCTGCCTTCTAGTGTTGCTGTTCCTGGACGAGCCAAAGCTGAACACGTCGCGCCTGCACCGCGTGCTCCGCAACCTCTCCTACCACTGCCACACGCGAGAGTGGATCGTCAAGTCGTTGCTGTCCATGCTGGACCGCAGCGACGCCACGGCGGCCGCCGCCTCGGCCGTCGCCACCGTGCAGACCTCGTCGCCGGCCCCGGCGGTCGCCGCCGGCCGGCCGGCCAAGCGGCGCGCGCCGCCCGCCGCGCCCGAAGTGGTGGACGTGCTGGCGGGCACGCCTCAGCGCGAGCCGCCGGCCGCCGCCGCGCCGGCGCCCAGCTGGCTCAACATCAGCATGGACGCGGCGCTCGGCTGTCGCGCCAACGTCTTCCAGCTGCAGCGTACGGGTCCGGCGGCGCCGGCCGGGGGCGCCGTCAAGCGTCTGGAGCGCGCCACCCACATGGCCGTGCACCCGCAGGCGGCGTCGGTCGTTTGTCGGCACGCGCTAGACGCGCTCATCTCGCTGGCCAAGTGTTTCCCGAGCAACTTTCTGCCTTCTGGCCGGCCGGAGCGGACCGAGCGGCGGCCGGCCGGCTGGCGCCACGCCGACCTCTGGGAGCTGCTGCTGCGGCTGGACGCGCAGGCCGGCCGCGCCGCCAAGGGCAAGAGTCTGGCGCGTACGCACAGCGGCCAGCCGACCGACGCGGACGAGGCGGCGACGCCAGCCGGCCTGGCCGCCTCCGCTTTCGGCCACCTCATGGCCATGCTCGACCACCCTGTGATAAAGAAGTCGTCGCAGCTGACGGACAGCCTGCTGCGCCTGCTGTCGTTCATGTCGGCCGGCGTGCGTGAGCTGACCGACCGGCCCGACCAGCTGGGTGAGGTGGCGCCCATGAAGCCGCTGATCGGCCGCGCTGTGCGCGTGCTCACCAGCAAGTCGTGCTCCGAGGAGGGCATGGACGACGCCACCAAGCTGCTGCTGCACATCTCCAACGGGCCGGCACCCGTCAGTGATCTGGTGAGGGGCGCCGTCGGCGCAGCGACGCGCGGCAGGCGGCGAACTGCCGGCCCCGCTGCCGGCTAGGGACGGGGGCTGGGGCAGAGGCCGAGAGCTGCGACTTGAGCGACTGATTTCTCGTTAGTTGGTTTGTTTACATTCTGAATGGATTCACATGATCACTCGGATTTTCACTTCACGCTCGCGTACGTCACTCTATCACTTCGTGCAGTCACTTCGGATTTTTCGGAAGCGGTTTGCTGATGTGAGCTGGCTTTTGTCATGGGTCGGCGACAAGGTATAGCTTACTGGGATGCGCATTCCAATGGGCACTGACGTCAGCACACTTGTGTTGTAGCGAACATTGAGTTGCGTTGCAGCGAAGGAGCTGTGTTCTGCCGTTGACTGTGTTGTGCTGGGTATGAGCGGGTGGGAATAACAGTTGGGGGTGGCGACAACACCCCGAACACCCGAACACCCCGATGCTCGGGATGTTCGGTGGCAGAGATTGCTGAACGCTACTATCAGCCGAACACTGATTCAATCCGCGACCTTCCCTTCCCCTGGTATATGGCTCAGCTAGATGAGTCATGCCGTCTTTTCCGGGCTCGTGTCGGGCCGGGGTTCACAAACATAAGTTTTGCCCAACCCCTGCACTCCTGCGGCGATTAGCCCTGGTGGCGGGTTAAGCTGTTGGCTTGTGATGTACCGCGAGAGGTGGGTCACTCCCTGTGTTCTTCAAGTCAGACGTCTTGTCACGAGCGGTCTGTCGAGCCCTGTGCCATAGAGGTCAGGCGAATGACATTCTGTCCTGTCAGGTGGTGTGAGTTCGGCTGTCAGGTTGTGCAGGTCTGGGGATTGGCCTGCCCTGGCACCCGCGAGGGTCACTCTTGGTCACTCTGACACATCGGATGTGTCACCATTGTGTGTGGCGGCCCGTTCTGTCCCGTTCTGTACAGCCCCCTGTCAGACGATGGACTTGGTTGACGCCGGGTGACGCGGCAGCCGTCGCACATGTCGGGTGACGGACTATGTGAGGGTGTGGGTGTCACGCAGGGTGACATGGCAGCCGTCGCACACGTCGGGTGACGGACTGGGTGGGGGTGTGGGTGTCACGCCGGGTGTTTGAGGGAGCCGCCGGAGCCCGCGGCTCCCGCCACAACCCGCGGCGAGTCTGCCAGCGGCTGGAGCTGTGCGCGCCGGTCAGCCCAGCCCGGCCTGACGCGCCGCCTCCCTCGGCGCCAGGTGATGGACCTGCTGTTGGAGGGCGCCCGCACGTTGGGCCACACTGTGTGCGGCCACATCCAGAAGCTGCACGGTGACCTGGAGCAGATGGCGCCCTGGTTCGAGCTGGCCAACCAGGAGGGCGGCGGCGAGGAGGAGCAAGCCTCGCCGGACCGCGCCGACCGCATGGACCACGGCAGCATCCAGAACCGGTCCGTGTGCACCTCCGGCGGCACGGTCCGCTGTCATGCGCTCAGAACTGCACCCGCGCCGTCAGCCACCGCTGGGCTCACAGCCGTGTCCCACCTCATGAACTGAACATGAACCTCATGAACTCGCGCTGAGAACTGTTGCGCTATGTGTCTGACTCAGTGAATAGCGTCACGTCACCTTGCCCGCTGGTCCCAGTCGTGACGTTCACACCGCTCCTTTACATGAGAATGTGCGCGGTGTGCCGGGATTCCGGTGTGGGCTTTAGGCTGCCCGTGATCAGTCGATCAGTGCTGGCAAATGGGACGGGACAGGTCAGCCGGCACATGAAATGTCAGCCTCGCTGTTTTACTTTTTGGGAAACGCTCGTATGTAACGACCTGCTAACTCATGTTCTGTTTAGATGTGCTGTGGTCGTACGAATATTTTGGGTAGGTTATCCATGCACCCAGTATGATCGGCCCCAGAAGAGGTGGCCTTTCTCATGCCACGTGCATTTGAACGCGACCCGGACGTGGATGAGCGCGGGGCGTGGTGGGCAGCGGCCCATCCGGCTGTGCCCCAGTGGCCGCCGCTAGCTGTGGCCGGTCTGCCGGCGGGGCTCGGCCAGGCGCGGCACTGACTGACCGGCCACCGTCGCTGCCGCAGCTACACCCGCGAGCGCATCGTCATCAACGCCTCGAAGCGGGCGAAGGCGTCCGGCATGGAGCTGCGCTTGCCGTCGATGACGGCGCTGACCACCAAGGGCTCGTCGCAGCAGTTCTTCCTGCGCATCCTCAAGGTCATCATCCAGCTGCGTAACTCGGCCGTCAGCAAGGCGAGCAAGGCGGCCGGCTCGGCGCGCGCCGCCGCCCAGGCGGAGCGGCCAGCCGCCGCCGCCGAGTCGACCGAGGCCGTGGCCGGCACGGCCAGCGACGGCGCCAGCGAGCCGTCGACGGCCGAGGTGGCGCCGGTGGCGGAGCGTGCTGAGGAGGTGGCTGACGGCGGGGCGGAGAGCGCCGCCGCCGCCGCTGCCGCTGCTGCCGCTGCTGCTGCCGCTGCTGCCACCGCTGCCGCCGCTTCCGCCGCTTCCGCCACCGCCGCTGCCAGTGCAGCCGCCGCCGCCGCCGCCCAGGCCAGCCCCAACGCCATGGAGGTGGACCCTACAGGTAAGAGATGGGTGATCGGTTGAGGGGGGGGGGGAGTTCTCACTTGAAGGTCTCAGGTTAACACTCACCACACAGAAGCTTAGAAGGCAATCATTAGTAGTTATAGATAACGCTGCAATAATGTTGGTTGTTGCTAGTTATGTACCGGGTAGAGGTCATTCGCGGCTTTTGCTGGCGGTGATGTATCGCTTCTACGCTTCAGGTATGCCTTGTGGTGATGGGCAATGACAGTCTTATTCATATATCCAATGGGTGGGGGCCGGCGTGAGCGATGTTGGTATATTGTCATCAATAAATTTCGGCATACAGATCCGTGAGGAAATTTTGGATGGGAACGCTACAATATACCAGGTAGTCAACGCCAATATGCTAATGCCGCGCCATGTATAATAACGTGGCATTGGGGTATTGTATCTAAGGTTTTACAACCTTCCACTGATGTATGATCATAATATTGCGTGAGGATCGAGTGTGTTCTTTCTGCCCTATAGTGATTGTCCAGCTGCCAGTGGCTGGCTTCGGTCTAATGCCGAACTTCGCCCCCGCAGGCGGCGCGGCGACGGCAGCTCAGGAGGCGGCCCAGGAGCAGGAGCAGGAACAGGAGCAGGAGGAGCCCGAGGAGCCATTGCCAGCGCTTAGCCGGCTGCTGGACCTGCTGCAGCTGTGGGACACGCTGAGCCAGTGCCTGCGTGAGCTCGAGCACACCCCCGACCAGCACGCCGTGCTCATCCTGCAGCCGGCCGTGGAGGCGTTCTTCCTGGTGCACGCGGCCGCCGAGGAGCACACCAAACGACAGCCGCAGAGCCGCCAGGAGCAGCTGGCGCACATCGCCGACTCGCAGCCGCTCTCGCCGCTGCCGTCCAGCTCGTCGGAGCTGCAGACGGCCGCGCGCCGCGACGACGACGACGACACCCGCAAGTTCCTGCAGTTCGCCGAACAGCACCGCACAGTGCTGAACCAGATCCTGCGCCAGAGTGCCACCCACCTATCGGACGGGCCGTTCTCGGTGCTGGTGAACCACACGCGCGTGCTCGACTTCGACATCAAGCGGCGCTTCTTCCGGACCGAGCTGGAGCGGCTGGACGAGGGCCTCCGCCGCGAGGACCTGGCCGTGCACGTGCGGCGCGCGCACGTGTTCGAGGACTCCTACCGCGAGCTGCATCGCCGGTCGCCGGAAGAGTGGAAGAACCGCTTCTACATCGTGTTCGAGGGCGAGGAGGGGCAAGATGCGGGCGGCCTGCTGCGCGAGTGGTACATCATCATCTCGCGCGAGATCTTCAACCCCATGTACGCGCTGTTCTGCACGTCGCCTGGCGACCGGGTCACGTACATGATTCACCACATGTCCCACTGCAACTCGAACCACCTCAGCTACTTCAAGTTCGTGGGACGCGTGATCGCCAAGGCGCTGTACGACAACAAGCTGCTGGACTGCTACTTCACGCGCTCGTTCTACAAGCACATCCTGGGGATCTCGGTCAAGTACACCGACATGGAGGCGGAGGACTACGAGTTCTACAAAGGTATGGGAGGTTCCCGTAGTACCAGAGGACAGATGTGGTGGGGGCCGTGGTATGCGTTTGTTGCCCTGCTGGCGTCACCCCGCTAATAGTCGACTGTGTTCTGTGTCGCATCGGCCACTGATCCTGCGATAACGATGGCATGTCAACGGGCAATGCAACCTCCACCATTATTACGGTCTTGCTGTTCTGAAGGCGCGCCGGCACCGATAAGTGGCCGTCATACGTTAAATGATTGTTTGCCACCCAAGCCCCCCCCCCCCCCCTCTCCAAATGCGGGTCCTTCTGTTGCATTATGGTCAAATGTATTACTTGTAAATGACACGCCTGACAAAAAGCGTCTTCAAGACCTGTGCATCTGGTACACTTCATCCGCATTTTCAGAACTATGATACCATACCACAGAGCCAGAAAGCTGTGCAGCTCAGTTGGGCGTCATAAGTTCAACGTGTCCAGCGCGTCAGTGAGCACAACAGAGCGCGGTCGCCGATCTGTCACGGCGCCTCCCCGTGTGCTGTCGCGATGGCACTAACGCTGCCTCTACCCGGCAGGACTGGTCTGCCTGATCGAGGACCCCGTGTGGTGTCGCGATGGCACTAACGCTGCCTCTACCCAGCAGGACTGGTCTACCTTATCGAGAACCCCGTGTGGTGTCGCGATGGCACTAACGCTGCCTCTACCCGGCAGGACTGGTCTACCTTATCGAGAACCCCGTGTGGTGTCGCGATGGCACTAACGCTGCCTCTGCCCGGCAGGACTGGTCTGCCTGATCGAGGACCCCCGTGTGGTGTCGCGATGGCACTAACGCTGCCTCTACCCGGCAGGACTGATCTACCTTATCGAGAACCCCGTGTGGTGTCGCGATGGCACTAACGCTGCCTCTGCCCGGCAGGACTGGTCTGCCTGATCGAGGACCCCCGTGTGGTGTCGCGATGGCACTAACGCTGCCTCTGCCCGGCAGGACTGGTCTGCCTGATCAAGGACCCCCGTGTGGTGTCGCGATGGCACTAACGCTGCCTCTACCCAGCAGGACTGGTCTGCCTGATCGAGGACCCCCGTGTGGTGTCGCGATGGCACTAACGCTGCCTCTGCCCAGCAGGACTGGTCTGCCTGATCGAGGACCCCGTGTGGTGTCGTGATGGCACTAACGCTGCCTCTACCCAGCAGGACTGGTCTGCCTGATCGAGGACCCCGTGTGGTGTCGCGATGGCACTAACGCTGTCTCTGCCCGGCAGGACTGGTCTGCCTGAGGGACCCCGTGTGGTGTCGCGATGGCACTAACGCTGCCTCTACCGGACTGGTCTGCCTGATCGAGGACCCCGTGTGGTGTCGCGATGGCACTAACGCTGCCTCGCCCGGCAGGACTGGTCTGCCTGATCGAGACCCCGTGTGGTGTCGCGATGGCACTAACGCTGCCTCTACCCGGCAGGACTGGTCTGCCTGATCGGACCCCGTGTGGTGCCGCGATGGCACTAACGCTGCCTCTGCCCGGCAGGACTGGTCTGCCTGATCGAGGACCCCGTGTGGTGTCGCGATGGCACTAACGCTGCCTCTGCCCGGCAGGACTGGTCTGCCTGATGGAGACCCCGTGTGGTGTCGCGATGGTACTAACGCTGCCTCTGCCTGCAGGACTGGTCTGCCTGATCGAGACCCCGTGTGGTGTCGCGATGGCACTAACGGCCGCCTCTGCCATGGCAGGACTGGTCTGTCCTGATCGAGGACTCCCGTGTGGTGTCGCGATGGCACTAACGCCGCCTCTGACCGGCAGGACTGGTCTGCCTGATCGAGGGACCTCCGTGTGGTGTCGCGATGGCACTAACGCTGCCTCTACCCAGCAGGACTGGTCTGCCTGATCGAGGACCCCGTGTGGTGTCGCGATGGCACTAACGCTGCCTCTACCCGGCAGGACTGGTCTGCCTGATCGAGGACCCCGTGTGGTGTCGCGATGGCACTAACGCTGCCTCTACCCAGCAGGACTGGTCTGCCTGATCGAGGACCCCCGTGTGGTGTCGCGATGGCACTAACGCTGCCTCTGCCCAGCAGGACTGGTCTGCCTGATCGAGGACCCCCGTGTGGTGTCGCGATGGCACTAACGCTGCCTCTACCCGGCAGGACTGGTCTGCCTGATCGAGGACCCCGTGTGGTGTCGCGATGGCACTAACGCTGCCTCTACCCAGCAGGACTGGTCTGCCTGATCGAGGACCCCCGTGTGGTGTCGCGATGGCACTAACGCTGCCTCTACCCGGCAGGAGTGGTCTACCTTATCGAGAACCCCGTGTGGTGTCGCGATGGCACTAACGCTGCCTCTGCCCGGCAGGACTGGTCTACCTGATCGAGAACGACATCTCCGAGATGGGCTACGAGCTGACCTTCAGCACGGACGTGCAGGAGTTCGGCGTGAACGAGGTGCGCGACCTGAAGCCCGGCGGCCGGCACATCAAGGTCACCGAGGAGAACAAGATGGAGTACGTCCGGCTGGTCTGTCAGATGAAGATGACAGGCGCCATCCAGAAGCAGCTGAAGGCGTTCCTCGAGGGCTTCTACGACATCATCCCGAAGCACCTGATCTCGGTGTTCAACGAGCAGGAGCTGGAGCTGCTCGTGTCTGGCCTGCCCACCATCGACCTCGACGACCTCAAGGCCAACACCGAGTACCACAAGTACCAGCCCAACTCGCTGCAGGTCAGCTGCGAGCCTGCGCGCTGTGGTTAGAGGGTGCGACTGGGCCGCTCGTGTGGGGAGACGCCGGGCACTGCGCGGACCGAACGCTCGGCGATGGCGATGCCCTGCGGTCGAACGCTCGTCCCACGCGCCTGGTGAAAAGGGCTCTCTGAAATGTAACACGGGTATAATTCATCTTCGTCAAATTCTAGGGTCTGTTTACAAATTGTTTCGTTTGGAATGTGACAACTCATCTGGCCTGCATAGAATTCGGGGGGCTTGTCATCGGCAGAAGTGACCATGGTCATGTTTGGGGGTGGTATGGTCTGATATCGGTGCCTGCCGTGATGGCCGTTACCGTCGGCTGCGCCGGACGTCCGGCGCCGGATGTGCTGGTCGTCACCGCCGGCAGCCCCGGACGTCCGTTGCCGGCTGTGCTGGTCGTCACCGCCGGCAGCCCCGGACGTCCGTTGCCGGCTGTGCTGGTCGTCACCGCCGGCAGCCCCGGACGTCCGGCGCCGGCTGTGCTGGTCGTCACCGCCGGCAACCCCGGACGTCCGGCGCCGGCCTTGTGGTCAGCTCGCGCACCTTTGCCACGTCGCCCGCGGCTCACTCGCTCGTCCGGCCGCAGATCCAGTGGTTCTGGCTGGCGCTGCGCTCCTTCTCGAACGAGGACCGAGCCAAGTTCATCCAGTTCGTGACGGGCACGTCGCGCGTGCCGCTGCAAGGCTTCGCCGAGCTACAGGGCATGAACGGCGCGCAAAAGTTCCAGATCCACCGCGACGACCGGTCCACCGACCGCCTGCCCTCGGCACACACCTGGTGAGTGGCCGGTGTCCTCGCAGTGTTACTGATAGCTTTGCCGGGGGGGGGGGGGGGGGGGGGGGCGGCGTTACTCTTTATTTGCTGGCTTTGAGCTTAAATGATGAGCTGCAAAAGGCGTTTTACCTTGCGCAGTTTTTGGACCAGCCGTGGGTGCCCGCGTCACGCGGTTTTACACGGCTGGCGCTGACTGCACCCTGTGTCAAAACACGCCTAGTTGAATTAAGCGTGCGATGTTATTCGTATATTATACGTTCGGTGTTATGCATATATGATTATGTAATATTCACATATAATTATTGTGTGTCAACATTTTGCTGGCGTTACCCTTTCTTCGCCTGGCGTTGGGTTTAAATGAGGAGCTGCAAAAGGCGTTTTACTCTGCGCGGCTTTTGGACCATCCGTAGGTACCCACGCCATGCGGTTTTATGCGGCTGGCACCTTCTGCACTGCGTGTCAAAACACACCAAATTAAACTTAGCGTACGATGTTATTCGCATATTATACGTTCGATATTATGCATATATGATTATATAATATTAAAATAAAATTGTTTTGTGTCAAAATATTGCCGTTGACAGCAGCGGTTTGACCGCCACGTGCCCTTGCGTTCCAGTTTTAACCAGCTGGATCTGCCGGCGTTCGAGACGTACGACAAGCTCCGCGAGAACCTGCTGAAGGCCGTCCAGGAGTGCTCGGAGGGGTTCGGGTTCGCCTGAGCGGGCCTTGCCGCGTGCACAGCACCGCGCCGGCCGGCCGCCCAAGTTGCGTTTTATTTTTGTTTGGTTGCGACGCGCTGCGGGGGTGGGGGCGGGGCGTGGTGGGCTCCGGGGCGGCCAGCCCAGCAGGCTGTGGATACGCGGGCGGCGGCGCGCCCCCTGCCGCCGGCGCCGCCAGTCTTGAAGTGTGTCGGGCTCTGCGTCTCGTTGTGCGAGGTCGGGGGCTCTCCGTGTAATCTGTCGTTCGAGTAAACGGTATTTACCATCACGTGTGCTGCGACCGTATCAAATTGTGGTTATATTAATAAAGTTCCCATTGATTTAGAATCGTAGTTCTTTGCACGGCGTAGTGCGTAAAAGCCGGTGTTTGGAGGAAATAGTCTCTCTGGGAACAGTTTGGCCGAACTCGATACCATCTTGACGTAAAGCATAGGCATGAGACGGCTTCGAGCTGATGGACATCTCGTGGCAGGTTGGGTCGCAGTGCATCCAGCGCGGTGGCGAACTCGTGCTGTGACGGTTTGGACGGAAGTTATTTTGACACGTTTCGTCAGGAACAGGGCAGACTTTTGTCATAATGCAGTGAGGGATTGCATTATGGTGAAATTATTGATGACACCATGCTTTCAGGAATGCCCATTACGATGTCTAGTGCTTTAACTGCATTGCATTGCGCTCCGTATTACAATGATACTAGGTCGACGACTGTAGGACATACTATTGCACGCCGCATTACATCAAGATGGATGCAACGATAGTATCATGGAATGTGGATGCACCAGCCAGTAAAGACGAATACAAAAACCGTTTCACAAGGATGATTGGTATTTATTTCATGACGCGTCTGTGCCACATGGAGGTTCGTCTGCGACAAATGATTGGCGGGCACAGTAGCTGTTTCCCTGGATAGAGAGAGAATCACTCCTGTGAGATGAGGTCGACGCTGGCGACAGCCATCCAGCGCACAGATTTTGCTTAGTCCACATGTCTACCCCGCCATCAAGCGATCATCCCCGTGCGCTCGCGGTCTCATGGCCAAACTGGCCCACACCCGGCGGCGCCCACAGCAGCTCCTAACCCGATTACAATCTGAATAACTAGCGAGCATTACGTTCCACACATGATCTTGCGTATCACAGAAGCGATCAACGCAAGCAGGCGGCTGCTGGGCACACACTGCACGTGGATAATTGTGTTTCCAGACGTCATCACGGGCACTGGTGCTTTCCATAAGACTAGATTTTGTTTGTCCGCACCAACGCCGCCAGTAATCCCCGGCAGTAGTCGGCCGCAAGCACGGCTTCCGGGCCGGCGCGCCGTCGCGTCCCCAGCGCCGCCGCGCCGCACGCTCCGCCCGCCGTGGTCCAGACCCGATGTCACAAGCGCGAGGCGGCAGCGCCCCCTCAGCCGGCGGCACGCGCCTCCTCCTCTCCCTCGAACGGCGAGTCGTACGCCTGCACTGGCGGGCACGTGCAGACCAGGTTGCGGTCGCCGTAGATGTCATCGATGCGTGCCACGGTCGGCCACACCTTGTTTGCGGGCTCGACGAACGGCGCCGGGAACACGGCCCGCTGCCTGCTGTAGGGCCGCTCCCAGTCTCCGCCCAGCACGGCGGCCAGCGTGTGCGGCGAGCGCTTCAGCGGGCTGCTCTCGGCCGGCATGCGGCCCTCTTCGATCTCGCGGAGCTCCTCACGGATGTCTGCCGGCGCGCGAGCACGGTCCCGTCAGCCGAGGAGGAATAGGAAGAGCTACGGATGTCTATCGGCGTGGGCACGGTCCCGTCAGCCAAACGGGAGGAGTAGGAAGAGTTATGGATGTCTGTCGGCGTGGGCACGGTCCCGTCAGCCAAACGGGGGAAGTAGGAAGAGTTATGGATGTCTGACGGCGCGGGCACGGTCCCGTCAGCCAAACGGGAGGGGGGGGGGGAGGAGTTACGGGTGTACGTCGGCGCGGGTACGGTCTCGTCAGCCAAACGGGAGGAGGGGGAAGAGTTACGGGTGTACGTCGGCGCGGGTACGGTCCCGCCAGCCAGAAGGAGGGGAGTTACGAATGTCTGTCGGTGCGGGCATGGCCTCGTCAGCCGAATGGGAAGAGGAGGAGGAGAGAGAGTTACGGTGTGACGTGATGTGGTGGCGTGGCGCGGTGCGACGAGACATAGCACGACGTGTTATGGCTTCGTCAGGACACACTTGTCATGGCGCGGCCGGACACGGCGCGACACGTCATGGTGCGGAATGACGTAGCATCGTACGCCATGGTGGGACGGTTCGAAAAACGACACTGTATGGCACTACAGGGCGACTCACAAGCCTGCCCAACGCCGCGCAACGGGAGCGGTAGGCACGGCTGTGAAAAACAGGGGGCAGGCTGTAACGATCAACACGCCGCGGCAGGGTAAGGTGTGTGTCAACACCGGACGTGCCAGCACCGGCGGTCGTGAGTCAGGCCGTGATGGTTGCCGGGCAGCTCCAGCTCGAGCTGCGCCGCTGGCACCGGCCGCCGGCAGGGCCGGGCAACCGCCCCGACCTCGGGTAAGAATAGTCTCCCGCGTCGGCCGCCAGTGGCGCCGCTGGGTCCGCCGGCGCGGTCCACAGGAATATGAAGCATGTGACTCGAAACTAAATCGCTGATACGAATCAAGATAGTCACTGAATGTGAGCTAATCAAGCCTGAGCACCCCAGGCCCGACCGGGGTATGAGATAGCTGGGACACTAGCAGGCCCGGCCGGGTCGCCAGAAACGGCCTCATTCGTCCCTGATCACGAGGTGACGGCGGAGGGGAACTGTCAGACTGCCGAGTCGGCGCGGTCAGTGCCTCTAATGTGTCACTGACTGGGGCCGGCGCAGCTACCGACAGCCGACGCGCGTGCGCACACACACATACAGGTGCAATCGCCCACCCATTAGCCTAGTTTTAATTAGACGCGCGAATCGATGGCATGCATATGTCTTTTGTGCCCGCGCCTGAGGAATGACCCTGGCTTGCACTTGTAATTATTCGCTAAGTTATTTCGAAGGTCTTGACAGCGACCAGACATAACACATGGCGACCAGGGCACGCGATTGGTGCTATGGGATCCGCTGTTTTTCCGGAACAAGAAAGGCTTTTTCATAATTTGATACTCGGTTATATAGCAATTCTGGGGTCCCACCGAGAGAGATTCGTTGGGTACATCACAGATACGACACAGAGTGCTTG